TCCTCGGGCGTCTCGAAGGCCTTCATCAGCTCCTCCTGCTGCTTCCGCTCCTCGCGCAGCCGCAGGCGCTCCTGCAGGCTCTGCTGCTGGCTCAGGGCGGCCGCGGCCGCCCGGGGGCTCTGGGATCGCCCAGGAGATGCGGAGCTGGAGGCCGAGGAGCCCGGGGACCAGGAGCGCGTTCTCCGCCGCCGCCGCCGCCGCCGCCGAGACCACTGGTCCCGTGATGGCTCCTCTCCCGAGTCCGACTGAGAGGACCCATCCCTTGAGCGCCGTCGGGACCTCGGGGGGCTCCGGCTTCGCATCCCTGAGCGCTGCCACCGCTCTTCTGAATCTGACCTGCGGAGAGGACCCACACATGCCCGCTCAGTGCCCGCTGCTGTCATCTGCTCCACAGAAGCTCACGGGGTGCCCTCGGGGGGCCAGGCCCTGTTCTAGGTTCTGGAGACGCACCAGTGACCCAAATAGTGATGTCTTCTGCCTTCCTGGGCTCACCCTCTGGTGGGCCCCAACAAGTAAGACATCAGCAAGTAAACACACTGTGCGACCCGGCAGAGGCAGAGGCCCCAGAGGAACGACGGTGAGCACAGGGCCTGGGGCTGTAGGGCTGAGGGCAGAAAGGGGCTCTCTCAGGAGCTGACACTGAGCCAAGGCCCGCAAGGAGTGGGGAGGCAGCGACGGGAGGACCTGCAGGGAGAGTGCTCCAGGCAGAGCAGGAGCAAGCGCAACAGCCTGGAGGCCGGCCTTGACCTGGCACACGCTAAGAACAACGAGGGGGCTGTGCGGCTGAGACGGTGCACAGGAGAGGGAGGAGGCAGGGGCAGGGAGGGGGCCGGTGGTGCAGGAGTTATCAGAGTATGAGCGGGGGACCCGACGGCATCTAGGTGGTCAACAGAGAGCTTCTCAGGTGGAAGCAGTATTTGAACTGGTCCCACAGGATGGACAGGAGTTAACAGAGTGAAGGGAGTGGAATATGCAAAACCCTGGGGGTGGCTCAGGGGCTGCCATTATTATTATTATTATTATGAGACAGAGTCTCACTCTGTCGCCCAGGCTGGAGTGCAATGGTGCCATCTTGGCTCACTGCAACCTCCGCCTCCTGGGTTCAGGCGATTCTTCTGCCTCAGCCTCCTGAGTAGCTGGGACTACAGGCGCGTGCCACCACGCCCGGCTAATTTTTCTGTGTGTGTTTTCAGTACAGACGGGGTTTCGCCATCTTGGCCAGGCTGGTCTTGAACTCTTGACCTCGTGATCTGCCCGCCTCGGCCTCCCAAAGTGCTGGGATTACAGGCGTGAGCCACGGTGCCCAGCCGTTTATTTTTATTTATTAGAGATAGAGTTTATTAGAGACAAAGTCTACATTTTTATTTATTACAGACAGGGTCTCTCTCTGTCACCCAGGCTGGAATGCAGTGGCACGACCAGAGCTCCTGGGCTCAAGTCATCCACTCACCGCAGCTTCCTGAGTAACTGGGACTACAGTTGCACACCACCACGCCCAGCTAACTTTTCACATATTTTTGTACAGAGGGGGTCTTGCTATGTTGCCCAGGGTGGTCTTCAACTCAGGGACTCAGGCAATCCTCCTGTCTTAGCGCCCCCAAGTCTTGGGATTACAGACGTGAGCCACTGCACCCAGCTGTTTATACACAGAGAGCTGCCAAATGTTTTGTTAAACGCTCTAGCCACTAGGCTTATGTCAAAAAACCTAAACCATGCTGGCCGCGGTGGCTCACGCCTGTAATCCCAGCACTCAGGGAGGACAACGTGGATGGATCACTTCAGGAGTTCAAGACCAGCCTGCCCCAAATGGTGAAACCCCGTCTCTATTAAAAAAACAAAAAACTTAGCCAGGCATGGTGGTGGATGCCTGTAATCCCAGCTATGAGGGACGCTGAGGCAGAGAATTGCTTGAACCTGGGAGGCAGAGGTTGCAGTGAGCTGAAATCACGCCACTGCACTCCAGCCTGGGCGAGTGAGAATCTGTCTCAAAAAAAAAAACCCAAACAATGAAAACCAACTATTTCAGAGCCCTTAAATATCAGCCACAAATTTGACTGACTTTTCATAAACATTAATTCTAATTACATATCTATTGTGGCAAATTATTGCAAATAATTCCAATACCAGAAAATGGCAGATGAAAAAAACACAAAGATGACATTAGCAAGACTTACGACCGAGCGCGGTGGCTCAGGCCTGTAATCCCAGCGCTTTGGGAGGCCAAGGCAGGCGGCTCACTTGAGGCCAGGAGTTCAAGACCTGCCTGGCCAACATGAAGAAACCCATCTCCACCAAAAATACAAAAATTAGCTGGATGTGGCGACACGCGCCTGTAATCCCAGCTACTTGGGACACTGAGGCTGAAGAATTGCTTGATCTCAGGAGGCAGAGGCTGCAGTGAGCTGAGTATGTGCCACTGCACCCTAGCCTGACAACAGAGCAACCCTTGCCTTAAAAAATGAAAAAGAGCCGGGCGCGGTGGCTCATGCCTGTAATCCCAGCACTTTCGGAGGCCGAGGTGGGTGGATCACCTGAGGTCAGGAGTTCAAGACCAGCCTGGCCATCATGGTGAAACCCCATCTTGTAAAAAAATAAAAAACAAAAAGAAAAGAAAGAACGAACGAACAGATGAGTGAACTTGGCCCAGTGTGGGGTAAGACTGGTGTGAGTGTCACAGCCACGAAGGGGCTGGGCCGGGACTGGGGCTCTGGTCTGGGAATCAGTCCCTGTCACCATGCTGGTTTCTCTGTACTGGAGCCAGCTCAAAGCAAGTCCCAAGTGCTCCATCTCCAGAAGAAAAGGACCGTGGGCCGAGGGGAAGCCGAGATTCAGGTACGAGGAGTCAGCTGTGACTCCTGCCACCTGACTCCGAGTCTTCGTCCCTCCCACAGCCCACCTCCATAGCACAGTTGTCCCCTCTACTTCCAGAATCCCTCCGAAATCTGCGCACTTTCCCTGCTGTGGGTGCCTATAGCCTCCCTCTCATCATCGACCGTCCGGACAACTGTGCCGCCCTCCTCTGCTGCCGCTCCTGCCTACCCCTCTCCACCCCTTCTCCACCTCAAAGCCAGAAAGCTTGCCACGAAGTCAGTCCGCGTCACTCCCCTGCCCAGATTCCTCTCAGGCCTCCCCACTTCCCTCCGACTAATGACCAACATCTAACGTGCTGAGCACACAGGAGTCGGTATGATCTGGTCTCTCGTTACCTCCCCGCCGCCTCGCTCACCCGGTCCCCTGTATGAAACGCCTCTCGCTTTCCTTCCGCTGCCTAGTTAATTCCGACTCGTGGTCAGCTGTTCCCTTCTCCAGGAAGCCCTCCCCGAGTACGTCGGGGGCCTCTCAGCTCCCCGGGATCTCCAACTCCTCGGTGAAGTAGGGGCCGGATCCCCAGCGCTGCTCCCGCAGCGACCCTACCTGCGCTCCTGGCTCCGCCGCCTCCGTCTGTGCCGTCCCTCGTCCTCCCGGCGCCGCCGGTTTCGGCGCCCATGGCTCCTGCTCCGACTTCGGCTCCCGCTCTGGCTCCGCTGCCTCCGGCCACGGCGACCCGCGGACCGGGAGCGCGAGCGCGTATCCCGACCCATCGGCTGGGCCGGTGGCCACGGCGCCGACACCAATAGCCTGGGCCTCCGTCGGGGGCCTTCCTTGCTCGCGGCGCGTTCCAGGCTGCCCCATCCATGCCTGAGCCTGGAGAGAGCAACTCGTCCCGCCGTTCCAGGGCGCGAGGACTCCGACCCCCCAGATTCTCCCCTCCGTCTGCAAATGTGGTCACGTGATGGACTCCGGTGGGATTGTCGCCTCCAGGGTGGGGCAGTCTCCCTTCAGGCAGTGCTGGAGGCAGCCTCAGGCAGGTCCTCGCACCTCAGGGGAACGGAGGGACCGTGGGCGGGGCAAGAGCAAATTAGAAAATTTGTGAGGGGCGGAGCCTGCGGAGGCGGGACCTATAAGAGGACGGTCTAGGACGGAAGTGGCGCTTCATGGGCGTGTCCCAGGAGAGGCGTGTCTGGGAAGCAAGGTCTCCGAAAGGCGAGGAACTAGAATGTCTTAAAGTCCAGGCAGCTCCAAAAGGGAGAGGGTGGGCGCCGGGACGGAAACAAAGCCTTACTATGACTCTCATAGCCTCACTATGAGAGTCATCGTTATGCTCCACCACTTGCCAATGAACATCTGTGATTTGGGGAGTTACTTTTTTTTTTTTAAGGTGTAGTCTTGCTCTGTTGCTCAGGCTTGTGTGCAGTGGCGCGTCTCGGCTCACTGCAACCTCCGCCTCCTGGGTTCAAGCGATTCTCCTGCCTCAGCCTCCCGAGTAGCTGGGACTACAGGCGTTAGCCACCGTGTCCAGCTAATTTTTGTATTTTTAGTAGAGACGGGGTTTCACCTTGTTGACCAGGAGGGTCTAGATCTCTTGACCTCGTGATCCACCCGCCTCGGCCTCCCAAAAGTGCTGGGATTACAGGCGCGCGCCACCACGCCCAGCTAATTTTTTGTATTTTTAGTAGAGACGGGGTTTTATTATGTTGGCTATGCTGGTCTTGAACTCCTGATCTCCGGTGATCCACCCGCCTTGGCCTCCCAAAGTTCAGGGATTATAGGCGTGAGCCATCGGACCGGCCGGGAGTTAAAATAAAAAAAAAAAGGCCGGGCGCCGTGGCTCATGCCTGTAATGGAGGCCAAGACGGTGGATCACTTGAGGTTAGGAGTTTGAGACAACACAGTGAAACTATGTCTCTACTAAAAATACCAAAACATTAGCCGGGTGCGGTGGCGGGTGCCTGTAGCCCCAGCTACTGGGGAGGCTGAGGCAGGAGAATGGCTTGAACTTGGGAGACAGAGGTTGCGGTCAGCTGAGATCTCACCACTACACTCCAGCCTGGGCAACAGAATGAAACTCCATCTCAAAAAAAAAAAAAAAAAAAACCCAGAAAACAAAAACCACAAAACAAAATCAGTGCTGGGACTCCCAGTCAGACCTCCAGAACCCACAGAGAGGCAGACGAGTGAGCGGATGCTTATTACCCGATTTATTAGAGAGAGCTCTCCGACATAAAAAGAGAGGGTGTGGTGGGGATGGGGGGCAGGGGACCCGGGCTGCATACCAGTGTTGTCTGGGGCCAGGAGCGGCTGTATGGTTTCAGAGGCGCCCACGGCTCTGGGTTTGAGGGACACAGCACCCTCGTCTCTGCCACGAGGCGCAGCGCTTCGGATTGTCACGCACCAGACCACGGGGCGGAGCAATGGAGTGGAACCCCGGGGCAGTTAAGACACACGAGGTTTGCAGTTTCATTTTGTTTTGGAATCAGTTCGGCCATAAAAATGGGACTGGGGTGGGGACAGGCGGAGCGACTGAGCCGCCAGAGAGGAGGAGGCGGGCGCCTGTCCTGGGGTGGGGACTGAGGGGCTGTGGAGACAGTACCATGGTGAAGGACCCCACAGCCATGGGAGTATTGCACTGAGCCAGCTGTCAGGGGAACGGGAACATGTTGGGATGGCTGAGGGGGACGGAGCCTGGCAGGGGACACGTGGAAGTTTCCACCTTGTCAGTCTCAGAGAAACACCTTTTAGTCTTTACAGTACAGGAGTTCGGACACTGTCCACATTCTCAGTGGACAGCAGCCGTTAGAGGTGAGCCAGGAGGGGAGGTGGGCATTGGTCACCAAGGTATATACAGACTTCCATCGTGGGGGGCAGCGGGGTGGGTCCAGGGCCTCCCTCGCAGGGTCTGAGGGAGGCCGAGTTCGCTAAGTATTATAAATAGGCCTTGCCGTCCTCCCGCCCCGCCCTGGGCACAGTCAGTGGAGCACGTCAGCCTCGGTTTACAGTTCTCTGAGAAGGAACCAACACAAAGTCAATCTCCAAAGGAGTCTCGGAGACAACACGAAATAGAAATGTCAGGATATCCACAGAGGTTCGCAAATTTCTCCTGCAAGTGAGCGTCAGCTGGGCACTGGTGTCACGTGACTCACTCCGCAGAGGGAGGCCACCCTGGACGCAGTGCTGCCCGCCCGGGGCCACACCTGCTGCTCAGTCACCCCCATAGGCTACTGACGTCTCTGGTGCCAGGGCTGTGGGCAGGGGGACTTGAGGACTCCCTGGGAGGCTCAGTGTGGCCTCTTTGGGTGTGGGCCTTTGAGATGATGACGCCCCTGTCCCTCTTGGTCATCCAGGTCCCAGACACCCCTTCTGACCTATGCCCCCACCTCCCTGGGGTGCCCACCAGGTGGGATAAGGCGGGGGCTGATTGGTGGGTGGCGGTACCAGCAGATGGGCACCAGGCTGTGAACTGGGGCCAAGGTCACTTCCCAGGGCTGGACAGACCCTCTGAGCCGGCAGGGAGGACCCCACATGGGCTTGTCCTGATGGGTGCTGGGAGCCACGCGGGTAGCTGGTTCCCGTGGAGGGTCGTCCCCTCTCCTGGGCAGAGACTCGAGGGGTGGCTTGCGTGGAGTGTGCCCTCACTGGTGATAGGCCTTGGGGAGGGGCTGGCTTCTCTGCAGGCGCAGTGCGTGGGCTGCAAGGGAGGCCGACAGGACATGAACAGCAGGTGGCACCGTGTGTACGGGGCTTGCCACAAACAAAACACAGACCCCACACCCGGCTCTGCCAGGGCGGGAGAAGCATTCTTCCTGAAGGTGCGGCTTCTGCTCTGGGCCACCCCAGCTCCTCCCATCCTGGGCACATCTCGGCAGTGGGGTATCCCCACGCCTATCACCAACAAGCCCCTCTCAAGGGTCCTGGGGAAGGGCAGGTGGGCGAATGCCCAGCTCTTGGCTTTGACCGGCACCTCTAAGCGCCGCGGGCCCAGGAAGCTGCCGAGCGGTCTGGGCTCGGTCCCAACGCTGGGATGGCTGTCCTGCTGGAGAGTGACAAGCCAGAAACAGTCTTCTCTTCTCTCTTCTCCTTGGAGACATCACTTCACTCAAAAGGCGAGGGACACCAGACCAGTCCTGAAGGAGACGTGTGCGGAGCCGGGCCTGCGCCGCTAGGCCATGTCTCCAGGCGGAGGGGTCCGGGAGCCTGACTTTCCACCCTGAGCTGGTGTCCTGTGGCCCAAGGCCTGGCCTCCTGCTCTGTCCAGCCTGGAAGAAAGTGTCTCTGTCGCTGGACCCTCCATTGCAGTTGCTGAGTAGCCACCATCGGAAGGGAAGGACAAGTCTCGAGCCCTAAGCTCCGCCAGAGGGGGTGGCAGCCGGGCGGAGAGGAGGCCCAGCCCTCCAGGTGCAGTGCTCTGTATTGGAGGTGCGGGAGGTTTTTGCTTGAGGGGCACCTGGGAGGTGGGCGCCAGGGCCCCACTGTGGCGGGAAGACAGATGCTGAGCAGCTACAGTGCTCGGCAGGGTGAGGGCTGTCCCCACAGCTGATGCTCAGGTCAGATGTCCTGCACTGAGACCCCCAAACCCGAGCTGAGGGTGGGAGGGTCTGCTTCCCAGGTGGATCGAGGCAGTGGCTTGGGACCCCAGCCATACCCTCGGCAGGCCGATGGGGTCCCCGGGGCTCAGGTCTCCAGAGGCCACTGGGAACAGCCTGGCTCCCTCCTCAGGACACATGCAGGCACACAAAGAACCGAGGAGGGCAGTGGGTGGGGCTCATCTTTGTCTGTTTTTGTGTGTGTGTCTTTTTTCTTTTCCTAAAAGCGAACACACGAGCTTCCGTCTGTGCAGAGTAAGGACTCAAACGCAGTTTGCCGCTCGGGAGGGGCGGTCTCACAGGGGCAGGCTGCCGACGGGGGGAGGAGCCTGACCATCGGCATCCGTGCAGGGGGAGGACGAGGTCCGGTGGGGCGGCGAGGCGGGAGTCTCCCGAGCTCTGGGCCTCAGTGGGGTGGGCAGCGCCTCTGGGGGCGGCCGGAGCGAAAGCGGCGCTCGGCTCTGGGTCAGGGACTGCATAGAAATTACTGCAAGAGCAAGAGGGCAGGTGAGGGTGGGAGGTGGGCGGCTCGAGGACCCCCCGGCCACCCGCCAGGCCCCTTGCCAGGGACTGGCTTCCTTGGGCCAACACAGGCCCGAGACACTGACCCCACGGCCACCCCAGCGCCAGAAAGCCCAGGGCAGAGCTCTGGGCGGCCTGTGCCCTCCCGACCCGGTCCTCAGTCCCTGTCTGTCCCCGAGGCCGGGGACCGCGCTCAGTAGAACCTCGGACCCCACGGGGCCAGCGGGCACACCTGGGCCACACTTACTGTGTCGCTCTCGCCGTCGGAGGCCGGGGGGGCCTGGGTGCTATAGTGGAGCGGGGAGTACACCCAGCTCCTCTCATCGGTGGGCTGGCGGGTGGGCGCGTGCAGGAGGGCGCAGAAGAGCAGGGTGCGAGGAGGCGCGACAGAGGCGGAGGGAGAAGGAAGAGAGGAGAAATAAAAGAGGCGAATCCCCCACGGAGGACGAGGGGTGGCTCAGCCCGGCCACCCTTTGACCTGGGGAACCTGCTCCCAACCTGGATGGGCCTGGGGCCTCGGCTCAGTTTGGTGGGGTGGGGCAGGGCGGGGCAGGCGGCAGAAAGCGGTTAGTTCAGTGGAGGCAGGGCCTGAGACAGCGGGTGACAGAGCCGGCGGAAGCGGGTTGGGGTCGCGACCTGCAACACCAAGTGTTCCTCCTCCTCCTCCTCCTCCTCCTCCACAGCCCATCCCCGCCGCAGCCCCCAGTCCTGCCTGCGCCACGGGCACCAGCGCACGGGCTCCTGGGGGCTCTCTACGGGGGTCCTGGGAGGTCGGGGTGTTGGAGCTACTTCCTGACACAGAAGCCTTTTGGGACTCTGAACACATGGCTGCCCGTGCGTGGGCAGGGCCAGCCCCCTCTGCCGGCACAGGTGTGCTCAGGAGAGACCGAGGCTCGGGCCACTCGCCCTGTAAGAGCACAGAAGGGCACAGGGACAGGCAGAGCTGTTCCCAGCTGTGCCCGAGGGAGGGGTCCCAAGTCTGGGTGAGATCTGGGGGGGAGGGAAGGTGCGTTCCTCCACCACCCCACCCTGCCCCCTGGGTCTGCACCCCCTGAGGAGCCTCTGGCCCCTCCAGCTCCCCCTGCCCCACCTGTCCCAGGCTGCTTCCTCAGGACTCCAGCCTGGCCTCCCTGGCCTCCTCCTGACATCCTCCTCTCTCTCAGTCTCCTGTCACCACCTTAGCCTTCAGTGCACTCCGGGCACAGACCTGTGAATTTCCACCGGGCCTGGCCTCGGCCCCCGTGTGCCAGGCCTGAATACACACCTGCCTGGCCACGTCGCCTGGTGTCCCTCAGCCCCTACACTTGTCACAGCCACAACCCCACAACCCCATCACCCCAAGACCCACTGCTCGTCCTTCCACTCAGGATGTTTTATCCACCTGCTGCCCAGGCCAACCCACGCCGCCTCATCAGACATGCGCCCTGCCTGTGCCAGCTCCTGGCTACCCAGGCCTCACCTGGGGGGGGGGGGGCGCCCCCTCTCCTGCCTCGAGCCCTACCCCCACACTCCCTCACAGGGCCCAGCTCTGCACTCACGCCACCCTGCCCGATCCTGCAGCTCCCAGCAGAGCCCTGTTCCTGGACCTTGGGCACCGAGCTCCCACCCCTCGAAGCCACAACTCGGAGGACTGACTCCCGCACCAAGGAGCTGGAACCCCAGCGCAGGCCTTGCCTGCTCCTCCAGTAGGATTGCATATGCGGCATGGAATCCCCAATGTGAAAATGGCGGGTCCAGCCCGCCCCCCCCGTGTCCCTCAAGGGCCTGGCAGGGGGAGCCGGCGTGGGTGCTCGATTCGGTGGCTGACTGACAGCTCCCATGGGGACTTGAAACTGTGGGCCAAAACAGGGTCCCCACCAGAGCCTGAAAGAGCTGGCCCACGGGGAGGAGGGTGGCAGCAGCTGCCTTGGAGCTGCTCTCCGGGGTTGGGGGGTGGGGGGCATCCTGGGTGGCACTGCGAATGTAGTAGCAGGGCAGGGACAACAGTGTCCTTCTGCTACTGCGTTATAAATGGGGGTACAGGCCAGGTGCGGGGCTCATGCCTAGAATCCCAGTGCTTTGGGAGGTCGAGGCAAGTGGATCACTTCAAGTCAGGAGTTTGAGACCAGCCTGGCCAACATGGTGAAGACCGTCTACTAAAAATATAAAAAGTAGCCAGGCGTGGTGGCAGCTGCCTGTAACCCCAGCTACTCAGGAGGCTGAGGCAGGAGAATCCCTTGAACCCAGGAGGCGGAGGTTGCAGTGAGCTGAGATCACACCACAGCACTCCAGCCTGGGACACAAGAGAGACTCCATCTCAAAAAAAGAAAAGGGCAGGACAGCTGACTTGCCTGTCCTGCAGGAGTTGCAGGGACAGAAAGGGACCCCCTCAGACACCAGCTAGGCAGGCAGGGGAAGTGGGGGCAGTGGCAGCTGGGACCCAGAACCAGATGAGCCCAGGAAGACCAGAACCAAGGGTAGAGCCTCCCCAGCACTCAGGCCTTGGGGTGTTCTGAATGGCCACCCTGCCTCCCCTCCGGCCCCCACACTTCTGCTTCTGCTGTGCCTGCTGCTGAGACCAGTGCTGAGTCTTCCCTTCCAACCTGGTGTCTTTCAAAGTCCAGGCCGCTCCACTGGCAGCCTGTGCAAACTGCTCCCCGCCTGCGGTGGGGTGGCCGGCAGGGCTGTGGCTCTCTCCAGGGCTCCGTCCCCCAGCAGGCCCGATGGGCAGCTCCTTGTCTATCTCTGGGGCATGGCTCTGAGGGTGGCTGGCTTCCTGTTGGCCCCGCAGGATGGAGCTGCCTAGTGTAGCTGGGGAGGTGGCCTCCACCTCTGGGGTCACTCCAGAGTGCCTGGCACACGGCGGTGCTCAGAGGCGTTTGCTGATGGGCAGGGAGCCAGGGCGGCCTCCAAGGGGGCTTTGTCTCCAGGAGAGTCTCCTGCTTCAGGTCTGCTCCCCATTCTGGCTGTGCAGCACTAGGCAGGTTTCTTGGCCTCTCTGGTCCCTGGCTTTTTGGTCATAATGACAACAGCAGGCCCCGAGTATCCTACAGCTAGCTACGTGGGGCCCACGTGGTGTCCCGGGGGGGACTCCTTGAGAGCTCGGGGACCTGGATTTTGACTAAACCATGTGGTCTCCCAGGCTGGCTGAGGCGTCAGTGTCTCCACCTGTGAGGTGGGTGTGGACACATCATCTACCATCTCCATGGCCCTGCAGTTCGGAGCCCAGCCCTATGGCCACTCTGCTGACCTGTGCGACCTCCCCCATGCAGCCAGCAGATGCCCCTTGGGGGCCAGGGCAGCCAGGTCTGTACGAATGAGAAGCGTCCACCCAAGACACCCTGACACGGGAGGGCTGGGTCCAGGGGCAGACCCTGGGTCTCAGCTGTGCACCTGGCGATGGTGCCGCCCTATGGAGCGCCCGGTTCAACACGGGACCGAGTGACATTCCCGGTGATGCACACAGTTCAGTGCCCGGCCCGGACCCAGTGTGGTTGACCTCAACCGCAGCCGTGATTTCCCCAAAGCCCTTCTGGAAAACAGCGGATGCTGGATCCTGTGCTTCCGGCTGGGGACCTGCGGCTCCCTCTGCCCGAGGGGCACCGCCCCTTCTCCCTGGGGTGGCCGGCTGCGGTCACTTACAGTCCCCGAGGCGCTCAACGTCACGGCCCGCAGTCGGCGATGGCGGGGAGAGTAAATCCAGTACCTCCCATCCGTGAACTGGACGGGGCGGGCCGGGTGGGCGGGAGGAGGAAGGAAAACAGAGGACAGAGGATGAGGCGGCGACCCCGAGGTGGGGTGGGAGAGAGGCGGTGGGAGCGGGTGGGGAGAGCTGACTGCCAAGCGGAGGTAGGGGTGCAGGGCAGGTGCGTGACTGAGGCCTCCCTTCTCCTTTCTCTGCTGCCCACCCAGCAGGGTGTCAGGACACAGACACACAGCAGAATGTGGCCCCGGGCCCCGTACCATCCGGAGACTGAGACACGCACCAACCAGCCCTGGGGAGAGGGGTGGCGACATGGGGTGGGTGGGGGCAGAGGCACGCAGCCTGCCCCTCCCTTCTCCAGGGCCAGGTGGGTGCATAGGGACCCCACAGGCGCCCCTGGAGATAGGGGAGTTAGGAAGCAGCCAGTGGATGCCCCCTAACAGGTCCTGAGGCCTGGTGCCCACATCCTGCCCACCGTCCCAGGGGGTGCAGGGTGAGGACAGGCCATCTAGGAATTGGGCTGTAGCCTCTGGCCCTTCCTGTGACCTGGGGCTGCCTGACCCCTGAGTGGGGCCACTGAGGAGTGCAGATGCTGCCTGGACATCCCAGGCCTTGCTGGCCACCCAGCAGCCACCTCATCCTGACCCTGGCAAAGGGCAGGTGGGATCCCAGGTCCCCAGGGTCGGGCAGACCCAGCCCAGCCCAGGAGCAGCCCCGAGTCCCCAGTGCATGGCGTGGGGGCAGGGAGTCCTCCTGCCACTGTCTGTCCCCTGGCCCTCCTCAAGGACGAGCCCACCTGGCCATGCCCACGGCGACAGGAAAAAGGTCCTGTTGCCACAGCCCCGCCTGGACATCTAGGCTGTCAAGGGCGCTGGGCCTTGGCCTATGCCGGGGCCTCCCAAGGGGCCGAGTGTCTGAGGATTCTGGACAACTCCCACAGAGATGGGTGGCACGGAAGGTGCCGTGGGCACGAGGCTGGGGAGGGGACAGGGGCAGCTCTGGGGCCTGGGAAAGGCCTGGTCTGGAGGCGCCTCCCACCTTGTGGGCTTAGACCAAGAAGAGGACGTGGGTGTGAACATGGCGTGAGAGTGCTGGCTGGTGTGAGCGCATGTAGGGGTTGAGAGAGCACTCTTTCACGCCTGTATGCGGGTGTGTGCACACAGTGTTCTCACGTGCCTATGTGTGGGTGCCTGTGAGTGTGCACACCGTATTCTCACGTGCCTGTGGGGGGCAGATGTCTACAGTTCTCATGTGACTGTGCAGGTGTGTGCACACGGTGTCCTCACGTGCCTGTGTGCACCGGTGCATGCGTGTGCACACGGTATTCTCACATGCCTATGTGCGGGTGCGTGCGTGCGCACACAGTGTTCTCACGTGCCTGTGTGGGGGCAGGTGTGTACATGGTGTTCTCACGTGCCTGTGTGCGGGTGCGTGCGTGTGCACACGGTGTTCTCATGTGCCTGTGTGGGGGCAGGTGTGTACATGGTGCTCTCATGTGCTTGTGTGCAGGTGTGTGCACACGGTGTTCTCATGTGCCTGTGTGGGGGCAGGTGTGTACATGGTGTTCTCACGTGCCTGTGTGCGGGTGCGTGCGTGTGCACACGGTGTTCTCACGTGCCTGTGTGGAGGCAGGTGTGCATATGGTGTTCTCACGTGCCTGTGTGGGGGCAGGTGTGCATATGGTGTTCTCACGTGCCTGTGTGGGGGCAGGTGTGCATATGGTGTTCTCACGTGCCTGTGTGGGGGCAGGTGTGCAAATGGTGTTCTCACGTGCCTGTGTGGGGGCAGGTGTGCATATGGTGTTCTCACGTGCCTGTGTGGGGGCAGGTGTGCATATGGTGTTCTCACGTGCCTGTGTGGGGGCAGGTGTGCATATGGTGTTCTCACGTGCCTGTGTGGGGGCAGGTGTGCATATGGTGTTCTCACGTGCCTGTGTGGGGGCAGGTGTGCATATGGTGTTCTCACGTGCCTGTGTGGGGGCAGGTGTGCATATGGTGTTCTCACGTGCCTGTGTGGGGGCAGGTGTGCATATGGTGTTCTCACGTGCCTGTGTGGGGGCAGGTGTGCATATGGTGTTCTCACGTGCCTGTGGGCATGTGCACACGGTGTGCACACAGTGGAGCATGTCACAGAGAGAGAGGTTGGTTGAGGAGCCGGAGCCAGGAGGAGCCCGGGGCACTTACAAAGTACATGTCAGTCGCGGGTGCGTCCTCCTCGTCCGAGGCCTGGCTGGCGGGCGCACCTTCCTCGTCCGAGGCCTGGCTGGCGGGCGCACCTTCCTCGTCCGAGGCCTGGCTGGCGGGCGCACCTTCCTCGTCCGAGGCCTGGCTGGCAGTTTCTGCTTCCACAGCAGCAGAGGCACCGGCTGGGGAAGCCTCCACCCTGGGGATGGAGCAGACAGGGAGACTTGACCCTCAATCCCCACCCAAAGCCTCTCCACTGCCCGGCTCAGGATCCAGGCAGAGGCTTCGCACAGTCATCGCTGATACAGAAACCCAGGCAGCTGACCGCAGGCTACGCGCTCCTGCTGTTTAATGCACATCAGAACAAACTCCTCAAGAAGCCCCCAGATGCTGACCCCAGGAGTGACCTGCCGGCCCACCGACAGCTCGGCCCCGCCTCCCACCCCAGCAGTGACCTGCCGACACCCACAGCTCGGCCCCGCCTCCCACCCCAGGAGTGACCTGCCGGCACACCGACAGCTCGGCCCCGCCTCCCACCCCAGCAGTGACCTGCCGGCACACCCACAGCTCGGCCCCGCCTCCCACCCCAGCAGTGACCTGCCGACACCCACAGCTCGGCCCCGCCTCCCACCCCAGGAGTGACCTGCCGGCACACCGACAGCTCGGCCCCGCCTCCCACACACACACACCTGTGGGCAGGTGCTGGCCTCACCCTCCCCAGCTGTGCCACCCTCCTCCTCAGCCTCAGTTGCCTCATCTGTCAAGTGGGGAGAGACGGCACCACCCCACTGGGATCAGAGCTTCTTCCTTCTTTTATTGCTTTATTTTTCTGAGAGGCTCTCATTCCATCAGCCACGCTGGCATGCAGTGGTGTCATCACGGCTCACTACAGTCTCCACCTCCCAGACTCGAGCGATCCTCCCGTCTTGGCCTCCCAAATAGCTGAGACTACAGGTGTGCACTGCTACGCTCAACTAATTGTGTGTGTGTGTGTGTGTGTGTGTGTGTGTGTGTGGAGACAGGGTCTCACTATGTTGCCCAGGCTGGTCTCCAACTCATGAGGTCAAGCGATCCTCCTGCCTCAGCCTCCTTTAGGAGGACCACAGATGGGAGCCCACAAGCCCAGCCTCTCTGCCCTTTCACTGGGCACTTACTACAGGCCAGGGCCAGCTCCTGTGATTAACTCACTGAGTCTATCACGAGGGATGGAAATGGTGCGGCTACCGCCCCTGTGTTACTTTTGCAAAAGCAGAGGCACAGGGAGGTGGTGAGGAACGGCCTCAGTCTTGGCCATGCAGTTGGTGCACAGTGTTCACCCCAGGAATGCGGCTACACACGCCCTCCCGCTACGTCGGAGGTTCAGTTCTTTTCAGCCAAACCTGAAATTTTACGGTTTGAGGTTTGGCAACGGCCAGGAGCTGACAGTGGCAGGACCGCCAGGTGGAAGATCAACCCCCAGAGCTTTCTTTTCGGGTCTGTGCTGCTGTGTGCTAAAACAGATCTCTTGGAACAAAAATCAGGAGAAAGGCAGGAAGAATTTGGTAATGACGCAAGCATGGGATCACACACATCAGACAGACGACAGAAAGGACAGAGAGAAAGGGGCCGGTGCGGGGCTCGCGCCTGTCATCCAGCACTGTGGGAGGCCGAGCGAGGCAGGGGGAGCACCTGAGCTTAGGAGTTCGAGGCCAGCCTGGCCAACATGGTGAAACCCCGTCTCTACTAAAATCACAAAAATTAGCTGGGTGTGGTGGTGCGCACCTGTAATCCCAGCTACTGGGGAGGCTGAGGCAGGAGAATCACTTGAACCCAGAAGGTGGAGGCTGATAAAGTGAGCTGAGATTCGCACCACCGCACTCCAGCCTGGGGGACAGAGTGAGACTCTGTCTCAGAAAACAACAACAACAAAAGGAACTGAATGGTGACAGTAAAAAGGTTCATCTTTACACTTGGTGGGAGTGTCAATCAGTCCAACCATGTGGGAGACAGTGTGGCAAGTCCTTAAGGACCTAGAAACAGAAATTCCATCTGACCCAGCAATCCCATTAGTCGGTATATACCCAAAGGACTATAAATCGTTCTACCATAAGGACACATCCACACGAATGTTCACTGTGGCACCGTTTACAATAGCAAAGACCTGGAACCAACCCAAATGCCCATCGATGATAGACTGGACAGGGAAAATGTGGCACATATACACCATGGAATACTATGCAGCCATCAAAAACGATGAGTTCGTGTCCTTTGTAGGGACATGGATGAACCTGGAGAACATCATTCTCAGCAAACTGACACAAGAACAGAAAATTAAACACCCCATGTTCTCACTCATAGGCGGGTGTTGAACAATGAGAACACACGGTCACAGGGAGGGGAGCATCACACACTGAGGTCCACGGTGGAGAAATAGGGGAGGGACAGCGGGGTGTGGAGTTGGGGAGGGATAACATGGGGAGAAATGCCAGATATAGGTGATGGGGAGGAAGGCAGCAAACCCCACTGCCACGTGTGTACCTATGCAATGATCTTACATGTTCTTCACATGTCCCCCCCAAACCTAAAATGCAATTAAAAAAAAAAGATTGGACATTACAGGGCTCACAGAGAATGTCCCGTCCCACAAGAGACACACTCATTCTTTCCACATGGTTGAGGTGTGTGTTCCCACCGAATCTCATGTGGAAATGTGGGCCTGGGGCTGTGGTGGGGCCTGGTGGGAGGGTTTTCAGTCATGGCAGTGGACCCCTCACGGCTTGGTGCTGTCCTTACCCTTGGCGCAAATTCTCACCAAATCTGCTAGTCTAGAAGTATGTGGCACTGATGTGGGGCGCAGATTATAGCTCATGCCTATAATCTTAACACTTTGGGAAGTCCAGGCAGTTGGGTAACCTGAGGTCAGGAGTTCGAGAGCAGCCTGGCCAACATGGTGAAACCGCGTCTCTAGTAAAAATTCAAAAATTAGCCAGGCGTGGTGGCAGGCACCTGTAATCCCAGCTATTTGGGAGGCTGAGGCAGGAGAATAGCTTGAACCTGGGCGGCAAAGGTTGAGGTGAGCCAAGATTGCTCCATTGCACTCCAGCCTGGGTAACAAGAGCTAAACTGTCTCAAAAAAAATAAGTAAATAAAATAAAAAATAAAAATAAAATAAGTAAATACTAAAAAGGCAAAAAAAACCCTTATGACTTAGAAGTTCAGAGATGCTTTTACATAACTTTCTGCCCAGGGCCTCTTGCCCTTGGCCCTGTGGACACTGGAACCAGGTCCTTTTCTGGGGCGGGGCTGTCCTAGGCACGGCAGGCTGATACTGTGCGGCATTCCTGGCCTCTACCCAGTCCACGCCAGGAGCACCCCCTGGTTCCACCAGCCACAAATGCCCCCAGGCATTGCCCAGTGTTCCCTGGGGGCCAGGATCAGCCCCAGCTAGTTGAGAACCACTGCTTTCAATCAAAAACAAAATGTAGAGGAAAACCACCACCTGTTAATACAACCCGGTAAGAAGGAACGGCTTCCTTCGGAAACCTTGGGGTGCTCTTGGTTGCTCCGGGCCCGCAGCAGGTGGGCGCCCTGACCTCCCACCGAGGCCACACTCACCCTGAGTCTTCCTCTTTGGGGACCACGATCTCCACGCTGCACGTGGGCTCCACCTGCACCGTAATCTGCTGCAAGGTGTCTTCTGCGGGTGGCTCTTCCTGCGGCCTGTGGGCAATGGGAGGCTGTGCCTCAGTTTCCCTCCTCTCGTCCCTCCATCCTACCCCCAGGAGTGCGCAGTGAACTCCAGGGCCACTCCCAGAGGGGGATTGGGAGCCTCCTGCTCGGGCCTGGTCTTTCTGGCTGTCACTCCCAGCCTGGGGACTGTCCACCTGGGTCCCTTGGTGACTGTGGTGCTGGCAGGGCCTGGGGCACAGCAGGCACTCGGGGCATATGTGTGAATGGTGGCCCCAACCGGCTTAGGCGTCACAGATCCTGCCCACCCCCACAAGAGTTCCTGAACCTAAACCGAGGGCTTGACAGGTGAGTCCGTGTCCCGGCAGCCTGGCCTGGGCATGTGCTCTCTCCAAATGGACAGAGGGGAGGGTCACATCCCACCCGGCACACCAAGGGGCTTCTTTCATTAGGCAGCAGTGATTAGAGCACAGTTAAGGAAAGTAACACCTCGCCACCGCCCCAGTGTTCACAAGAGTGAGACCCTGGGGACCTTGCAAATGTCCGTGAGGTCTGGGCACCTGAAGCCGGGTGCAGCCTATGGGATGGAAGGCCGGCATGCAGGCACAACAGGAATGGCGCACCCGCCTGTGAGACCCCCTTCAGTCGCGTGACAACAGCAAGAGGCAGGCAGCATGCATGGGTGTGACCATTTGTGTCAAAATAAAAGGGGACCATAGCCGGAGGTTGTGGCTCACGCCCATAATCCCAGCACTTGGGAAGGCTGAGGCAGATGGATTGCCTGAGGTCAGGAGTTCGAGACTAGCCTGGACAACATAGTGAAGCCCCGTCTCTACTAAAAATACAAAAAAATTAGCTGTGTGTGGTGGTGGGCGCCTATAATCCCAGCTACTAGGGAGGCTGAGGCAGGAGAATGGCTAGAACCCGGGAGGTGGAGGTTGCAGTGAGCCGAGATCGTGTCAATGCACTCTAGCTTGGACAACAAGAGTGAAACTCCGCCTGGTGCACATTTGCTGTGTCCCCAGAAAGTATCTCTGCAAAGAGACAAAACCCACAGTCCCAGTGGTTGCTCCTGGGGAGGGACGGGACGTGGCAGGAGGGGGCATTTCACAACGTTCCCTCTTGTGCTTTCTTTTAAGTTAAAGAAAACGTAATAGAAGAAGAAATAGCGAAGGATCCACAGGCCAGAGCTGCCCCAGGGCATAAAAACAACAAAAGGACTAGAAGATTCTGTGTGGCTCTAGGGCTGAGTGCTGGAACCTTGTATCTGTCCCCAGGAGAGAACCGGCAGACAGCAGAGGGGCTGGGGGCGGGAATGGGAGCTGTGAGCTGTGCGGGATGAGCGGGCGAGAGACCCAGGGAGGGAACAGGGCTGGGTCTCACCTGCCATCCTGTCCAGAGGACTGTGTGCGCCGCCTGTAGAAAGAAGGCAAACAGGTGACACGGGAAGAGCCATGGCCTGCCCCCTCGGCAACCCCGCCCACCTGTACATATGATGCCCCGCCCTCCTACACATCGATTGCCCCGCCCACATCCACAGCAACGTCTGGCCCTTCTGCACATCAGATGCCCCACTCACATGCACAGCAGATGCCACGCCCTCCTGCACAGTGGATTCCCCACCCACCTGTACCGCGGATGCCCCACCCACCTGTACCGGGGCTGCTCCGACGTCTCCGAGGGGGACCGCTCAGGAATGGAGAGGGATGTGGATGACAGAGTCGTGGCAATGGAGGCTGTAGTGGCTTCTTCAAAAGAAGGTGGCGTGCAGGGCAGGAGGTCAGGCCGGCCTGCAGGGAGAGGACTGTGGGCACCTTGCGGAGCCTCGGGTCCCCAAACACCACAGAGGGCTCTCCCTGAGGCTGGGCTCACCTGGGAGCCCACAGCCCAGTGCCTGCAGCCTCCTGGACATGCCATCTCCCCACACGGCAGAGAAGGAGGGTGAGGTTCCCCCTTGCATGAACACTTCTGACCGCTCTCAAAATAGAATCCAGACCCCTACACAGCCCAGAGGGCCCTGTGCAACCTGGCCCACCCCACCCCACTCCACTCCCTCCTCCCTCTCTTCCCCTCCCCAATGCTCAGCCACAAGATCCTCTTGCTGTTCCCCCAGCAGGTGCGGTCCTGCCCCACGGTCCGTGCATGGCAACGTCCCTTCCTTCATTCTATTCCCCCATCCCCTGACATCAGGCCCAGCCTGGGGGCTACGTGCCTTCTATGGCATCCCAGTGCACCTCGGGTGACAGTGACCGTGACAGGAGATGGGAGCCGTCACCACCGGCCTTCTACACTCAGCTCTCTCTGAGACTCCTCCCTGGGGCCGGGCCAGCTCTGCAGATCCCGGAGGTGGCACCTGAGTGATTAGCACTCAGGATGAGGCCTGCGCTCTGCCCAGTGGGCTGCTGCTGGTACCCTGTGGCCCCCATAAGCACACTCCCACCCTCTGCCCCTCACCTTCGTCCTCCAGTGTGGGGTAGCTGCGGGCCCCCCGCAGATCATACTGGGCCTCCTCCCGCTCACTGGGGATCTGGCTGGCCGAGAAGGCGGCTGTGGGCCCCAGGGGTTTGACGGCCAGCAAGGCTCCGCCGCGTCCCTTCTTGGAGGGTGAGGACTTGAGGGCTGCAGTGGAGGGAGGGTGGGTGTTGGCACCTGTGGCTGCTGGGGGCTCGCAGCAAAGCCCAGACAGGACCACTGCCCGCATATGCCCCACCATCCCTGAGGCCAGGAAGCAGCAAAGCCTCTGTGGAAAACCAGGCTGCGGGAGGCACTGGGGGTCCTAGTTACCTGTCCTGCCCACCCGACCATCTCTGAGACACACAGGACTTGGCACAGTGCCTGCCCTCCCGGGGCCCTGCAGACCTGCGGCTCCCATCAAGCTGGCCAGGGCCCCCAGTTTCAGATGGACACGAGAGCCTTGGGGAGCACCAGGTGTCATTGGAAAAGTCAGTGGCTCAGCACATAGGACTCAGATCCAGGCTCGTCCACTAGCTGTGTGGCTCGGTGTCTCTGGGCCCCGGCGGCTGACCTTAGCAGTCGGGTTGGGCGGGGCAGGTGATGCCCGCAGTGCCCCGCAAGGGACTGGGCCGGTCCTCAGAGCTGTTTGAGCTCTGCCTCCTCACCCAGCTCTTGTGACCTCTGACCCGGAATAGTAAACAGTAGGCGCTCAGTTTGCTTTGCACAGCTTCCTACAGTCACCAAAGGCTGGCAAACAGCCCAGGATGACTGGGAATGACCCCGTGGCAATGGTTCCGGAGAGTGGCGTGTGGGGACAGGCTCCATAGCCGGCTCTCCAGGACAGTTCCTAACATGTGATGTCTGCCAATTCCCACGGTGTCCATCGGAGGGTGTCCCTGACCTCGGAGCCGGGAAGAGCAGCCCACTGTGCGCACGGGGCATTGGCGTGCCTGTCCCTGCTGCTTCCGGGAGCGGCCCCCGTGGGTGCGTACCCCTGGACCATGCATGCCCCCGACACTTCCCAAGCACCTGTGTGCTAGGCCTGAGCAGGATGCTGGGGAGCCCGGGAGCCCTCCAGTGGGGAGGGCCCTGAACAACAGACCCGGGAGGAACCCATCTGGCAACAGGTGGGCTACGGGCCGAGGTCTGCACTGGGGCCTGGGACCCCAAGCCTGAGACCAGATGTTACAGTGGCATGAGGGGAAGCTGAGCCCTGAGAGATGGGGACCTCCCCTGGGGAACCCTGGGTGAACCCTGAGTCCCCACCTTCCCCTCCCACACTCTGAGCTACCTGCTGGGCCAGGCCCACCCATCCCACATATAAACACTGTACTCTCACCATGCTGTGCAGATGGGGAAACTGAGGGACACAGGGAGGCCAGACCCACCCATCCCACATATAAACACTGTACCCTCACCATGCTGTGCAGATGGGGAAACCGAGGCACACAGGGAGGCCAAGCCAGGATTCAGGATTCAGGCTGTGGACCCATGCTCTACCCCTGTGCAGGCAAATGTCCCGACTACCCTACCTCCAGATGAGGCCTGGTCTGAGGGAGGGCACAGGGGCTCTGGGTTTACTGTCCCCACCCACTGGGTTCTCAGCCTCCCCTAGAGTCCCTCCCACTCCACAGGGCTCAGGGGGCTTACATGAGTTCTTCCGAAAGACCGTGTTGCTCATGAACTTGAAAAAGCGCTCGGCATAGAAGCTGGGGCGGTGGACGGACACGGTGTCCTGGAAGAGTGGTGGGGGTGCCCGGGGGGCAGAGGGCGAATCAACCAACAGCCGGGGACGGCCCAGACAGACGCGGGGTGTGGGTGAGGTCGGGGGGCACCTTCTGTGTGAAAAGGCTGGAGATGCGTCCATGGCATCATGGCTTGCTGGGAGGGGCTCACGGAACTGGGAACAGGGGCTCCCTCTGGGGAAGGGGCAGGAACTTTTCCACTAGAGACCTGTTAGCATGTTTAACTTTTTTTTTTTTTTTGAGACGGAGTCTCACTTTGTGGTCCAAGCTGGAGTGCAGCGTGTGATCCTGGCTCACCGCAACCTCTGCCTTCCGGGTTTGAGCAATTCTCCTGCCTCAGCCTCCCAAGTAGCTGGGATTACAGGCACCCGCCACCACGCCCAGCTAATTTTTGTATTTTTAGTAGAGACAGGGCTGGCCAGGATGGTCTTGATCTCCTGACCTTGTGATCTGCGTGCCTCGGTCTCCCAAAGTGCTGGGATTACAGGCGTGAGCCACTGCGCCCGGCCAGCACTTCTGACTTTTTAAACCAGGTCAGTCAAGTATTCTGGCCGGGGCAGTGGTCCACATGGACTTGCAGGGGAGGCTGAGGCAGGATGGCCCAGCTGAGGCCTGCTGGGATGTGACCCTTGGCCTCCCAGAATGCAACCTCCTTTCCCAGTCTTCTTGGTGGGGAGTGGCCACATGCCAGGACCGTGAACGGCTCCACCCTCATAGGCTGCAGTGGGAGGCGGTGCCCGCCTACTGTGGGCTAGGGGACAAGTACAACCCCAGGAAAGTGGGCGGCAGCACAGGACACCCGGGCTGGCCTCAGCAGAGCGAGAGGGCTCCTATCTGCTCTGGGCAGCGGCTTCCGGGCCTGGGTGAGGTTTAAGACTTCCCTGGAGGCCTCTGCCGGCCGCCACCCTGACCTGCTCATCCTGGAAGCTACTGCCTGGACCTTTAAACACTGTTGAAAAATGGGAGTGTCTGTCGGGATCTTGGATTCTACAGGTTGTGGCCACGCAGACGTTAGTCCTCAGCACGTGGGCCCAGGAGGTGGTCTGTGTGGAGCGATGGATGGGAGGGAGGCCGGGACGACAGGTGGGAGAACAGAAGGGAGGAGGGTCGGGAGGAGGGGTGCAGGCGCTCACCCCATCATGGACAAGGGCCTTCCAGGTGTGCTCCAGCTTCTTGATGAACCTGTGGAGAGAGTGCCCGGAGTGGCAGCTGACATCAGCCAGGCCCATACCAGGCGGCCTCACTAAGGGGGCACTGTGCACCCCCCAGGACACTGGGCCATGGCTTCGGGCAATCGTGGCTGTCAAAACTCAGGGTGGCAGGTGCTCCTGGCAGAGAGTGGGTGGAGGCTCACTGCTTATTGCCCTGCAATGCCCAGGACGGCCTCACCCAGAGAACCACCTGGTCCCAATGTCCACAGCACCGGGTGGGTGACCCTGTATTTATTATGCTAGAGCCCCAGGCGGGCATGGTGGTTCATGCCTGTGATCCCAGCACTTTGGAAGGCTGAGGCGGGTTCATCACTTTAGGCCAGGAGTTCAAGACCAGCCTGACCAGCATGGTGAAATCTTGCCTCTACTAAAAATACAAAAATTAGCTGGGCGTGGTGGTAGGTACCTGCAGTCCCAGCTACTCAGGAGGCTGAGGCAGGAGAATCGCTTTGATTCAGAAGGTGGCGGTTGCACTGAGCCAAAATCGTGCCACTGCACTTCAGCCTGAGGGACACAGAGACTATCTCAAAACAAACAAACAAACAAACAAATGTTGGAGCCCCAAAGTGAGACCTCAAACTCACTCCTTGGATTCTCTCTGAGACAGGGTCTTGCTCACCCAGCCTGGAGTGCGGTGCTGTCATTACAGCTCACTGCTACAGCCCCGGGCTCAAGGGATCCTCCTCAAGGGATCCTCGAGGCCTCCCGAGCAGCTGGGACTGCAGGAGCACCACCATGCTCTGCTCATTTTTAAAATTTGTTTGTAGACACGGGGTCTTGCTATGTTGTCCAGGCTGGTCTCAAACTCCTCGGCTCAAATGAGCCTCCCACAGTGCTGGATTACAGGCGTGAGCCACTATGCCCAACTCATTCTGTGGATTTGCAAGGTGACCAGACACCTTCCCTTTGGGGCTCAAGAGGGAGCAGCCCAGCAAGAGCCTTCCAGAAGGCTGAGGAGCCCCAAGAGCTGCTGGTGCTGCTGTTTCCATGGGTAAGCGCCTCTGTACATGGGTGTCCATGGGGCACCCACTGGTGGGACGGCAAACCTGGCGCGCCCACCTGTGAGACTGCAGACCCGGCTCCCCCCGTGCGACTGCACACCCGGCTCCCCCCGTGCGGCTGCACACCCGGCTCCCCCCGTGCGGCTGCACACCCGGCTCCCCCGTGCGGCAGCAGACCCCGCACCCCCCACCCCCGTGCGGCTGCACACCCGGCTCCCCCGTGCGGCAGCAGACCCCGCACCCCCCACCCCCGTACGGCTGCAGACCTGGCTCCCACCTGTACGACTGCAGGATGTCGATGATGCCGATGTGTAGGAGCAGCCGCTCCCCGCGGCCGTTCACGGCAGGGATCCCGCCCATCCTGGGGAGAGAGGCCAAGGGCACTGTCAGCATCCCGCAGAGCTGGGACTTGGGGCAGGCAGGGCTGGGGAATCCACCTGCTCCCGTGGAGTGGGGACTTGCCCTCGGAATAGGGCCTGACACCCGGAAACCTCTGTCCTGATGTCCCTCCATCACCCCCAGCCTGCAACCCAGGCCCAGGCGCAGACGAGGAGTCCCAGCTAGGAGGCCCGGGCACGCACCCTGAACGCACACACACGTGCACAGACACACACACATGCACGCAAACGTACATGCACACACCGCACGCTGCACGCCCAGGCAGGGCCACAGGGTCTCAGGTCCACCCTGGGAAGTTAACTGTCACCCAGCACCACACCACGAGTCCCCTGCCCAGCATGGTTAGTTAGGCCACAAGTGCAACCACCATCCTTCGAAGCCACCAGGACAGACCCGTTGGGCCTGGGCCCTGCACGCTCTGCTCATGCCACAGGCTGCTGTGCTCACCTGCTTCCCCGCCGGGCCCTCGAAGACCCTACAAACACCAGGGTGGTCTGAGTGGGAGCTGTGCCCCGCCTTGGCTCCCGAGCCCCCCGCAGCTACACCCTGGTTGGGGCCCCAGCTCCCCCCATGCCATCCATGGAACACACCACCACTGTTGCAAACCAAGACTCAGCTAGTGGCCTAGTGTGAGCCAGCACTGCCCCCGGGAGGGCTGCCCCCACCGGGAAACCTTCATTTCCTCCACTGCCCACTTCCCTCCTCCAAGGCCGCTGTGAGGACTGAACACAGTAACCAAGGGGAAGGCTCTGCCTGTCCCCAGTCAGGGAGCTGCTGTGACCAGGACGCAGTCTCTGCACTGCTGTATGACACCTGTGCATCCCATCCCCTGGGCCGTGTCTGAGGACACCTGTGGTTGTCACGACTGGGGGTGATCCTGCCCTGGAGTGGGTGGAGGCCCGGGACGATGCTCAGCACCCTACAGTGCCCAGGACAGCCCCACCCCAGAGAACAACCCCGCCCCAACATCCATACTGTCCCAGGAGGGCCCTGTGAGCATCTTCCCAAGCAAACCCCGAGCTGTGCGGGCCTGCCTGGCCCCTCTGCCCCTGGTGTCCAGCAGGGACTTGACTGTAGGCCGCTGAGGTATGGCCTCCTTTCTCCATCATTCCCATCTTCTGTGGCAGCCAGTTTTTTTTTTTTGAGGAGGAGTCTTGCTCTGTCTCCAGGCTGGAGTGCAATGGCGCGATCTCGGCTCACCGCAACCTCCGCCTCCTGGGTTCAAGCGATTCTCCTGCCTCAGCCTCCCGAGTAGCTGGGATTACAGGCACGTGCCACCAAGCCCAGCTAATTTTTGTATTTTTAGTAGAGACGGGGTTTCACCATGTTGACCAGGATGGTCTCCGTCTCTTGACCTCGTGATCCACCCGCCTCGGCCTCCCAAAGTGCTGGGATTGCAGGCGTGAGCCACTGCACCTACTTTTTTTTAATTTAATTTTTTAATTTTTAATTTTTTTGAGACGGAGTCTCACTCTGTCACCCAGGCTGGAGTAGAGTGGGATGATCTGGGCTCACTGTAACTACCTCCTGGGTTCAAGCGATTCTTCTGCCTCAGCCACCTGAGCAGCTGGGAATACAGGCGCCTGCCACCGCGCCCGGCTAATTTGTATATTTTTAGTAGAGATGGGGTTTCACCATATTGGCCAGGCTGGTCCCAAACTCCTGACCTCGTGATCCGCCCGCCTCGGCCTGCCAAAGTGCTGGGATTACAGGCCACCACGGCGGACTTTTTAAGACAGGGTCTCACTCTGTCACCCACGCTGGAGTGCAGTGATGCAATCTCAGCTCACGGCAGCCTCCGCCTGCCACACTCACAGGACCCCTCAGCCTCCCGAGTAGCTGGGACTACAGGCTCACGTGCAGCTAAGTTTTATATTTTTGGTAGATATGCGGTCTCGCTATGTGGCCCAGGCTGGTACTGAGCTCCTGGGCTGAAGTAACCCTCCCACCTCGGCAAGTGCTGGAATGACAGGCGTGACACAGCACCCGGCCAGCAGCCACTTTGATCTGGGTGGAATCAGAGTTTGCAGCCCCTCCGCTTCGTGGGTTGTGTCCTGCTGAGGACGCCGCCTCGCCCGGTCCCTCTGACCCCCCACGCATCCTCCACACCTTTGTGGCTCCGCTCTACACAGGCGGCGGGCGGACCCCTCTGAGGGCCACGGGGAAATGCCATCTCAGTCTCATTCCTGTGGATGGCCAGTGGCCTTGGCCCAGTCACAGGCAAACGGAAGTGCCACCCTGCCATTTCCAGACCAGGCCCCGAACCCTGCGCTCAGCCTGTGGCCGGCACCACAGCCTGGCTTTGCTCTGGGGCACCGATGCCAGGCTCCCAGACTCTCAGTCCATCTGTCGCCCATGATACCCTCGCCAGCCCTCCCTGCCTGCTTCCACACTTGGGACGGGGAAGGGGGCGGGGGTCTGAGGGGCTGGAGCCTGCAGGGAAGCAGGAGGGGTCCGGAGGCCCCCCGCCCACCTACGTGTCATCCGACTCGATGGCCTCCCCGCGCGCGGCGCCGCCCTGGATGGACTCCATGGCCGTGGAGTAGAGCGCCTTCTGGCCCACGGGCCGCTTCTCGTCCGAGGTGCTCTGCGCGCCCTGCGCCTGCCGCTCGCGCTCGTGCTGGTCGATGTTGTGCACGCCCAGCAGCAGGCTGTAGTCCATGATCTTGAAACTTTCCAGCACCTGAAGGGTGGGGCACGAACATGCGGTCAGCTGGCTCCACCCCCCAACGGCCCCAACAGCAGCAGGCTGGGAAGTGAGGGGTGCAGTCACACAGCCCTGCAGGGGTGGGGTTCTGTCCTTAACTGAGGGACAGGGGGCCGTGGTCACACAGCGGCCTCAAAGCAGGCCAGAGAATGAGGGCTTCTGGCTTCCGGCCTCCCAGCAGGTTTCCTTGGGCGCTGGGATGGGGACTTTCCTTCCTGGCTTTGCTCCTTCCTGAGAGACAGGGGGCCGGGCCTATGCCTGACCAGCCCAGGCCCATGGGCGAGGATGTGCCTGGCCCAACAGCTGACGCCCAGGTGCGTGGATGCCCAGGGTAGCCTTGAGGCCCCTGAGTGGTCTGGGCGGTTTGGGTCAAATTCTCTTTTTTTTATTTAAACTTTAAAAAAATGTAAGCAAGCAAGTTATCAAAGGGGTCAGGCAGCTGGGGGTGGTCAGCAGGGGGCTGGGAGGTTCCAGGGACCTCCCCTCCTTGGCTTCATGCCTCAGCTGCGAGGGCAGAGCAGGGACAACACAGCTCACACAGGCAGAGGAAGAGGAAGAGCCACCGCAGGCTCCATGGGGACAGAAGCCAGACTCCGTACTGGACAGACATGGGCCCTCACCGTGGCCTGCAGGGCAGGTAAGTCATCCCATTGGATGGGCGAGGAAACTGAGGCGCAGCAAGTTTTCATGGCTAGCCAGGGAGCTCTGGGCTTGTGGCCATAGCATCCGAAGGCTGGGCTCTCTTCTCTGGGGGTCGGGGGACTCTGTACCACTGTCACCATGTCATCTCCAGAGGAACTGCTTCTTAGCAGTGCGGACACTCCCGACCCCCAAGGGCTGGGTCTGGAGAGGTATTTTGTTTTGTATTTTCTTTGGGAAACGGGCTCTCACAATCTTGCCCATGCTGGTCTTGAACCCCTGGGCTCAAGCCATCCGCCCACCTTGCGAAGTGCCGGGATCCCAGGCAGGGGCCACTGTGTCCAACCACATCCTAGGCTAAGGCCATACAAACTTGAGCTGCTTCCGGATCCCACGTTGGGGTGGGGCCTATCCTGGACTTCAGGGCAGGCGGGCCTCAGCCTGGCACCCTCCCCAGGCAGTCCCGCAGCCCCACGCTCCCGTGCCCGCCCGGGCCGCGGCCTCACCAGGCAGTCCCGCTGCAGCGTCTTGACCAGGGCGCTGAAGGTGTCGGCATCCAGCAGGAGCCCCTCGGGCATGTCCTGCATGAAGTCCAGGTCCTTGTAGGTGGGGAAGCTCTTCTCCTTCTCCTTCCTGCTGGCGCGCCGCTTGTAGGTGGAGCCCTTGAGGTCGAACTTGAGGTGCATCTTGACCACGCGTGGCAGGATGTTGTTCATGACCACCACGCGGATGTTCTTGCCCCCCGACTGCACGCAGTACAGCCCGTAGAACTTGGGCAGCAGCGTCCGCGGGTTCTGGTTGAGGTTCTGCCGGGAGGAGAGGGCAAGTCTCGGGGGCAGCCGGGCTACAGATTCTTGGGGATGGGCAGAGCTGGCCTCTGCCTCAGGGGCCCCTTCCTCCGCCTGCAGGTGCCCACCTGGCCTTCCCACAGCGCCCTACTCTCACGGGTCTCGGGGTCTCCCCACCCAGCTGTGAGCTCCAGGAGGGGGTTTCTACAGAGCCAGGCCCCGAGTCAGGCGCTTCGGGTCCACCAGAGGCTTCCACGCTCCCGGCCTGCCCACGGGACATCGCCCTGGCTGGGCTCGCCTGCTGGGAGGTCTGGAGGCCAGAAAGGTGATGCTCTGCCTGTCCTAAGTACGTGCACATATGAATATGCACATGCATACACACACACGTATTTTCCTGAGACAGGGTGGAGTTCTGTCACCTAGTCGGGAGTGCATGGTGCGATCAGTTTACTGCAGCCTCCACCTCCAGGGCTCAGGCCATCCTCCCGCCTCAGCCTCCCCAAGTGCCAGGACCACAGGCGTGTGCGCAGCCTCTGTGCTGGCCACACTCTGCCTGCTTTGGGCTGATCAGGTCAGACTCTCACTCCACATCCGGGTCTGCAGGCACAGGCAGGATCTGGGCCCCGCTCTGCCCTGCAGACCCCAAGCAGGCACTGGGTGACCCAGGGTTGTCCAGGTGAGGCCACAGCTCCACTGCCCAGAGCCTCTCTATGACGAACCCAGGAGGCTGCTGCCGGGTGTCAGGGCCGGAGTGCAGGGCGAGGCCACAGGCACCAGCCTGGGGAGGCTCTGCTAACTCCAGCCCCCGGCAGAACCCGGCTGCCGCCTGTTTTTGTGGGGCTGTGAGCTGAGAATGATTTTTTCAGTTTTAAAAAGTGGAGAGGCTGTGCGTGGTAGCTCACACCCGTAACCCCGGCACTCTGGGAGGCCAAGGCAGGTGGATCACGAGGTCAGCAGATCGAGACCATCCTGGCTAACACAGTGAAACCCCGTCTCTACTGAAAACACAAAAAATTAGCCAGGCACGGTGGCGGGCACCTGTAATCCCAGCTGCTCGGGAGCCTGAGGCAGGAGAATCACTTGAACCCGGGAGGTGGAGGTTGCAGTGAGCCGAGAGCATGCCACTGCACTCCAGCCTGGCAACAGAGCAAGACTCCGTCTCAAAAATATAAAAATAAAAATAATAAAAGAAAAGAAAAGGTGAAGAAATAAAAAGAGTCTTTTGCGACACGTGAAGTGATATGGAATTCACGTTTCTCGGTCCATGAATAACGCTCATGGGCGCACAGCTGTGCCCATCCATTCTCGTGTGGTCACAGCAGCTCAGTGCCACCCAGGCAGAGCTGAGCCCTGGAGTCTCAGACCACTGCCTCACAGAGCCAAAAACACTCACTTTCTGGGCCTTGACAGACCGAGTTTGCTGAGCCTGATCTAGGGAGCCTGGGCCCCACCATAAGCATCACACACAGTGATGGAGGAGGCCTCAAAGGGGAAACTGAGTCACAAGCTGTGCTGTCCAGAGGGGCTGGGCAGCAGCTGTGACCTGGACACATGGGAGGCACCCACCCCATCTGGGCAAGTACCCGAGTCCTAGGCCCAGGAACACAGCGGCCACCGCCGGCTCTTGCTCCCCATCCCAGGGCCTGATGTGCCCTTTCTGTGTCACATGGGATAAGGAATGGTCCAGATGGAGCTGTCTCACGCCCACCTGCGCAGCTGGTCTTTTGTGGGGTACCAGCTGGTGGCCCGTCCCCTCCTCTCTGCAACCCTCTGAGTCACCCTTGGGCCACTTGGGTCTCCATGGCATCTGAGAGACGCGGCCCATGGGCCGCCCTAACCCTAACCCTAACCCACTGCTCAGAAGGAGTGTTGGCAAGGTGGGGGTGGGGAGCCGGCACAGGTGGCGGCTCTGGGGGCATGTGGCCACAGGAGAAAGACAAGGTGGCTCCCGAACACCGGTGCTGGAAGAGCTTGACGGGGGACCCCGAGGGTGAGTCCCCAGGTGCCTCTTGCTGTGCCCCAAGGATGCCTGCTCGCCCTAGCCTTGCTGCTCCTGCCAGCCAGGAGAAGGGGGCGGGGGCAGGTCGGGCCGGACGCACCATGTAGTATCCGGGGAGCAGCTTCTGCAGGAACTCGGCCTCCTTGTGCATGACGGTCTTGATGATGAACTCGTCGTCACTGGTGACGTAGAAGAGGGAGCCGCTGGCGCCAGGGTTGGACAGCTCGATCAGCGGCTCGTTGCACAGGGAGTACTGGAAGCAGGGGAGGTGCATTAGTGGTCCAAGGCTGCCGGACACACAGAGGCCGCTCCCGGTCTGCCCGACAGCCCCGGGACCTGACTTGTCCCTGCATTTTACAGATGAGGAAACAGAGGTTGAGAGAGGGGTCGTGACGTGCCTGAGGTCAGGCTGCCTCCCGCCCTCCTCAGGAGGAAACAGCTGATCATAGGGGGGCACCAACAGGTGTGGCTAAGACATGCTCCCAGCACCCCTGCAGCGTGGTGTGGCCACACCACCAGCTCTGCCCCATGAGGCGTAAGCAGAAGCTATGGGGTGGAACTCTGGGAAGGCTCCCCAGAGGGGCGACAGGCAGCTGGTGCACCTGCGTATTTGCCCTTCTTTCCTTCCCGCCAATTTCCCTCCTGAGATGCTGATGTGATGGCTGGAACCCCAGCAGCCACACTGGTCCGAGAAGTAACCTCTGGGATGGGAGCTGCATCTCTAATGGGCAGGCCTCACTCTGGCCCCTGGCAGTCCAAGCCCTTCCTCCCCATCTCCTCCGCCCGAGCCCTTCCTCCCCATCTCCTCCTCCCAAGCCCTTCCTCCCCATCTCTCCGCCCAAGCCCTTCCTCCCATCTCTCCGCCCGAGCCCTTCCTCCCATCTCTCCTCCCAAGCCCTTCCTCCCCATCTCCTCCTCCCAAGCCCTTCCTCCTCATCTCTCAGCCAGAGCCCTTCCTCCCCATCTCTCCTCCCAAGCCCTTCCTCCCCATCTCTCCTCCCGAGCCCTTCCTCCCCATCTCTCCTCCCGAGCCCTTCCTCCCCATCTCTCCTCCCGAGCCCTTCCTCCCCATCTCTCCTCCCGAGCCCTTCCTCCCCATCTCTCCTCCCGAGCCCTTCCTCCCATCTCTCCGCCCGAGCCCTTCCTCCCCATCTCCTCCTCCCGAGCCCTTCCTCCCCATCTCTCCGCCCGAGCCCTTCCTCCTCATCTCTCAGCCAGAGCCCTTCCTCCCCATCTCTCCTCCCAAGCCCTTCCTCCCCATCTCCTCCTCCCGAGCCCTTCCTCCCCATCTCTCCTCCCGAGCCCTTCCTCCCCATCTCTCCTCCCGAGCCCTTCCTCCCCATCTCCTCCTCCCGAGCCCTTCCTCCCCATCTCTCTGCCCGAGCCCTTCCTCCTCATCTCTCAGCCAGAGCCCTTCCTCCCCATCTCTCCTCCCAAGCCCTTCCTCCCCATCTCCTCCTCCCGAGCCCTTCCTCCCCATCTCTCCTCCCGAGCCCTTCCTCCCCATCTCTCCTCCCGAGCCCTTCCTCCCCATCTCCTCCTCCCGAGCCCTTCCTCCCCATCTCTCCTCCCAAGCCCTTCCTCCCCATCTCCTCCTCCCGAGCCCTTCCTCCCCATCTCTCCGCCCGAGCCCTTCCTCCTCATCTCTCAGCCAGAGCCCTTCCTCCCCATCTCTCCTCCCGAGCCCTTCCTCCCCATCTCTCCGCCCGAGCCCTTCCTCCTCATCTCTCAGCCAGAGCCCTTCCTCCCCATCTCTCCTCCCGAGCCCTTCCTCCCCATCTCCTCCTCCCGAGCCCTTCCTCCCCATCTCTCCTCCCGAGCCCTTCCTCCCCATCTCTCCTCCCGAGCCCTTCCTCCCCATCTCTCCTCCCGAGCCCTTCCTCCCCATCTCTCCTCCCGAGCCCTTCCTCCCCATCTCTCCTCCCGAGCCCTTCCTCCTCATCTCTCCTCCCGAGCCCTTCCTCCCCATCTCTCCTCCCGAGCCCTTCCTCCCCATCTCTCCTCCCGAGCCCTTCCTCCCCATCTCTCCGCCCGAGCCCTTCCTCCTCATCTCTCAGCCAGAGCCCTTCCTCCCCATCTCTCCTCCCAAGCCCTTCCTCCCCATCTCTCCTCCCGAGCCCTTCCTCCCCATCTCCTCCTCCCGAGCCCTTCCTCCCCATCTCCTCCTCCCGAGCCCTTCCTCCCCATCTCTCCTCCCGAGCCCTTCCTCCCCATCTCTCCTCCCGAGCCCTTCCTCCCCATCTCCTCCTCCCGAGCCCTTCCTCCCCATCTCTCCTCCCGAGCCCTTCCTCCCCATCTCTCCGCCCGAGCCCTTCCTCCCCATCTCCTCCTCCCGAGCCCTTCCTCCCCATCTCCTCCTCCCGAGCCCTTCCTCCCCATCTCTCCGCCCGAGCCCTTCCTCCTCATCTCTCCGCCCGAGCCCTTCCTCCCCATCTCTCCTCCCGAGCCCTTCCTCCCCATCTCTCCGCCCGAGCCCTTCCTCCTCATCTCTCAGCCAGAGCCCTTCCTCCCCATCTCTCCTCCCAAGCCCTTCCTCCCCATCTCTCCTCCCGAGCCCTTCCTCCCCATCTCCTCCTCCCGAGCCCTTCCTCCCCATCTCCTCCTCCCGAGCCCTTCCTCCCCATCTCTCCTCCCGAGCCCTTCCTCCCCATCTCTCCGCCCGAGCCCTTCCTCCCCATCTCCTCCTCCCGAGCCCTTCCTCCCCATCTCCTCCTCCCAAGCCCTTCCTCCCATCTCTCAGCCCATTATTCTCGGCCCCTGCTGTCTGTCTCATGATGTGCTCACTGTCTCTTCCCCCAGCCCTCTGCCAGCCGTTAGGCAGGAGGTCCATGGAGGCGGAGGGTTTTGTGTGTCCCTGACACACGGCAGGTGCTCTGTTTGTTAGGATCAGAGTGAAGATGAGGCCCGTGGGCGCTACCCTTCGTCTTTCGGGTACAGAACCAACGAAATGCCCCCCGGGGCCAAGGCCATCTGGGTCACGTCCTGTAAAACCCTAAGTGGTCGCCATTGGTCTACACAGATAAGGTGACAGCAAGCTCCCTGTCTGCGAAGCAAGCCAGGTCCACCCAGGGTCAACGCTGGGGCCGGGCCTGCCGAATGACGGAAGGGTGGTCTCTGCTGAGTGCCGCCTGCCGCACTGGGTAGAACGCTGCTGTGCTAAGCAGGTCGGGCGTGTCCCCAGAGTTAGGGGTGGTAGCGAGCGGAAGCCCGTGGAGGCCAGGCATGGTGGTTCACCCAGCACTTTGTGATCCCAGCACCTTGGGAGGCTGAGGTGGGAGGATTGCTGGAGCCCAGGAGGTCGAGGCTGCTGTGAGCTGTCACAGTGCCACGGCCCTTCAGCCTGAGCAATAGCACAAGACTGTTTCAAAAGCAGCCACAGCAAGTGAGGGCACTGCCTTTGGAAGCTGCTGACAGAGCCAGGGGCTGGGGCGCGAGCTCCACACACACTCTGATGTGTGGTTATGCTTGGGGGTCAGAGGAGCAGGAAAACATGAGGCCACTTTAGGCCCAGGGCCTGGGAACGCCCCCATCTCTCCTGGGGCTCAAGTCACTGCCCCCTCCCCCGACCGCCACTCGACTGTTCGGGGTGGTCTTGGGCCAGGGAATGGCGTCATCAGTTATCACACGCCAGTCAACATGGGCTGGATTCTGCAGAGTCACCAACAGCCCTGTCCCCCCCCCCCCGGTGCTCAGAAAAGCCACTCACGCTGCTTCTGCCATGCCTGGCTGGGAGTGACAGCGCAGGGTGTGAGCCATGGGGGGCTCTGAGGCTGCAGGGAGAGCTGTCTAGGCCGCTGCTGTCACCCAGCCGGCCATCTGTCTGCCTTTTGCCACCCACAGCCACGAGCCACAAATATCCACAGGAAACACAGGGCCCACGCAGCTCCTCCAACCTCCCTGCCACGACAAGACGCCCTCCACCCTCCCTGCCACGGCAGATGCCCTCCAGCCTCCCCAACACAGGCATGGTGGCACAGGGCAAGGGCAGGTCTCTCCTGGGGCTAGTGCCCTCCCTGGGAGGCCAGGGGACCCTTCCGAGCCCTAGGCCACTGTCCTCAGGTCACACAGAGCGGGGAAGCCCCCAGCAGCCAGAGTCCACCCCCGAGGCACAAATCCCTGCTTCTCCACAGAGGCAGGAGGGAGAGGCTGATCTCATCTGCAGAGCGGAAAACGCTGTGGAATGGGCACGTTGAGCTTTGCACAAAGAACACCAATGACAGGGAAATTCTGGAGCCACATGCTAATGGCAGTTGCCCTTGGGCGCAGGCTAGTGGGGCTGCAGTCTCCATGGGCCTCAGCTGCCAGGGAGACACAGCCCCATGCATGGGTTTCAGAGCCAGGCAGGGCCAGGACAAGCCCCCACAGGCTCCTCGGTCGGGGCCGGGGCTCTCTGCAGCCACATTGCTGACCTCGTCCTCCTCTCCACCCCCGGCCGACCACTGGGCAGGCCTGGGCCCCACCTTGTGTCCCACCTCCACCTTCTCCTTCTTGGCTGTCCTGAGCTAAGGGCCTTGCCAGGGCCACCCCCACTTACCAGAGGGAACAGTGGCCTCAGCTTTCTCATCAGAGAAGCACTGGCAACCCAAGGTCCCCCCAGCCTCACCTGTCCCCACTCAGGCTCAGGGGCCCTGGGGATGGCCACATGACACCGGCCCGTCCTCCCGCTGCCGGCGCACGGCCACTCACACCACAGCCTGGACAGAGGCCAGGGCTGCCGCCGGCTCAGCACTGGGGCCCAGGAGAATTCCCACCCCCTGAGATGAGCAGAAGGATCGGGGTCACCAACACCAGGCGGGCCCCCTGATGCCATGGGCGCACACCCAGCTTGAGGCCCCAGAACTCGGTCGTACTGGATTCTAGGTGAGCCCCAGATGGCCCCAGTTCAGCTTTTATCTGTCTGCTCCCGATAATGGACACTGGCGCCATCTCTGCTGTGAGCCCAGCCTCACAGGCCAGGAGTGTAGCATCCAGGTCACCCAGGGACCATTTCTAAGCACAAACCTCAGGCTGTTCTCACTCCCCACTGTCCCACCCCGCTCAGGTAAACCGCTGGGACACTGAAAGGAGGCTGGGCCTTGATGACATGACCCAGGGGCAAGGTGACTCCCAGGCACCTGAACAGGGCTGGGGTTCCTGGGGGTCACACGCATCCCCCACTGGAGCAGAGGCCGGTTCTCCTGGAAGAGCGCACCCTTGAGGGAGGACCCAGGCTTCCCACAGACTGAGATAAACCAAACACACGCACAGTCCGCAACCGACCACCAAAGGCGCAAGGAACCGGCTGCCCGGGTGAGGGCAGGACGGGAGAGCCACGGGCCCCTGGTCACGGGCACCGAGATGCTGCGACAAGCAGAACGCAAACCTCACTTGTCTAAGGGCTCACGTTTTCCCTGATACAAAGTTCTCTAAGTGACCAGGCAGGCGTGGGAAAGGCCACCCAGAGCTTTCAGAAGTGGTGCTGGTGCCCACGAGCTCCAAGGCTGCCGCGGTGAGCGCCGCCCTTTACACGCGTCTTTTAGGAGCCCTGGTAATGGGCTGCTAGGTCAAAAGGGCTGGCCTAGATTTTGACTTTTCTGACAAAAGCATCAAGCCACAGCTACAGCTTGGGAGGTCCGACTAAGCTGGTCCCCAGGGGCGCCCAGGGCCCAGTGACTTGATCTAACCACAAGCTTGCGTCGGTCACTCTGGCGCCAGGCTGCCGAAGACTAGACCGTCTGTTTGGGGAGTGGATGCCCTCGCTTGCTTGACGGTGAGGCCCACGTGGCGAGGAATGGAGGCTCCCAGCCCGCAGCAGCCAGGACAGAGTCCTGCTGCCGCCAGTGATGTGAGCTTGGAGGCTGATCCCACCCCCTTCCCCAGGTGAGTCTCTAGGAGACCCCGGCTCCGAACCTGACTGTAACCCTACGCAAGGCCCCCAAACGCCTGACCCACAGGCCCTCCGAGACCCCAGGCACGTTCTGTTGGAAGACAGGAAGCCCGTGGCAGCAAACACGCTTACCAAGTAATCGTCTGGCCGGATCCCGAAGAGCTCCCGGAAGTAGCGGAAGGCGACAGGTGCATAGGTCTTGAAGCGGAAGTCCTGGAAGTGGTGGGCGGGGGTGAGGTTGCTGCCTTCACTGCCAAGGAAGAACAGGAGGAAGTCTGTGGGGGGGGCTGGGCACCTCTCCCCTACTCCCACCACAACCCCTCCTACTGCCTCTAGCAGCTCAGCTCCAAGGCTTCCGTGAAACGGCCCAATCCCACAAGTAACATGGGGCTCCCGATGGGACCGTCCCCCAGTAGCCACCCTCCCTGCTCTCATTAACGACAGAACCCACAGTGTTGGCCAGGCACGTGGCCGCCAAGAGTGAGACCACGCCGCCCAGCCTCTCCTGCAGCTAGGTGTGGTCATGTGACTGCCTCGGCCGATGAGACATGAGTGGAGCAGGAACACTGTGGTTATGTCCTAAAGGGAAGGGCTGTGTCATTCTCCTTCTCCTTCTCGTTCTCGTTCCTCCTGTGGCTGGAATGAAGCCGCGATGGCAGGCGCCTGGACGGCCACCTGGGACCACTGGCCACAGTGCTGTATGCTGAGAATGCTGGGGCCAGGTGACCAGGACCCTGACAGCAAGGTGCCTCCTGACCAGCCCTGCACTGCCTGCCGGCATCTGTGATTGGAGAAGACCTGACCTCCATCTTTTCTGTTTCCTGCTTTTAAACTGCCTTCACATTAGGTCTCTGATTCAGCAGCAAATGGACATCCTGAAGGACAGAGGGCCAGAGCTCAAGGGCGAGGAGGCACCGGGAGGGGCCAGGAGCTGTTTCCAGCACAGAAGGGTGCTCAAGACAGGCCGCTCCACCTCAGAGCCCAGGGCTCCAGGGCCCAGCCCACCTGGGGAAGAAGATGCTCTCCACCACGTAAAAGTCCTGCATGAGCACGTCCCGCTCGGGCTTGGAGCTCAGGTGGCCCACGGTGTAGCCGATGCCCAGCTGGATGGCACCCTTCAGGGTGGAGGAGGTGGTCTGTGGGGAGACCAGAGTGTCACCCCCGCCTGCTCCCCGCCTCGCCCTGTACCCACTTCATGCACACCAGGGGGTGGAGTCCGTGTTCAGCTGCAGCCTGGGACCCGTCACCTGCCAACACCCCACCAGTGGCCCCTGGGACATCTGTCCTATAGCTGCTGAGCTGTGGACACTGGGCTGGGAGGTGGAGTCATCCTCCCTCGGGCCACACAGCCAGGACAGGGCTCGGCCGTGACTTCTACCCCTCTGGTCCTGTTGGCTAGCTAGGTTCTAGAAGGTTCTCACAGTATGAAATAGCTCCAGCTTAGCAAGGGTCGATTCACTGTCAGGGTTTCTTTTTAGCGGGTATCGTTCACCACGTGGTGCCCAGATCACTGTCATGTCTAGACGCGGGCTCCTGCTAGCTGCTGTCTGTGTGATACACGCGGTCACATCGGACAACCCACAAGGCTGCTCGGTGCCTCAGTTTCCCCGCCTGTGGACAGGGATGGGCACAATGGTTCTGGCCCTCTTGAGGATGTGGTGTCAGCAGCTGTTACAGTTATTTTTACTTAATTGTTTATATTTTTGAGACAGAGTCTTGCTCTGTCTCCCAGGCTGGAGTGCAGTGGCATGATCTCGGCTCACTGCAACCTCTGCCTCCCGGGTTCAAGCAGTTCTCCTGCCTTAGCCTCCCCAGTAGCTGGGACTACAGGCACGCACAACCACACCTGAATAATGTTTGTATTTTTAGTAGAGATGGAGTTCCACCATGTTGGCCAGGCTGGTCTTGAACTCCTGACCTCCGCCTCCCACAGTGCTGGGACTCCAGGCGTGGCTGCCGCGCCCAGCCAGCTGCTGCTATTCTATCATCGGCATCGTTTGTGTTATTCTCGCTGTGTGCTCGCGTCAGCCCTGGGAAGCCACCTCAGCCCTCCGGGCTCTAATTCAGGTCTCCCGTGCTCCCGTCGCGGATGCGAGGTGGTAGGGAGGATGGTGGGCAGTTGGTTTCTGCCACTGCCCAGGTTCGGCCAGCCTCCTTCCTAAGTCACGCTCCAGGTGTGGCCTGCACGGCCACCTTCTCAAGATGCCACGAACACAACAGACGTGTGCCCAGAAATGACATACAAATGGCCAAGCCCGCAGCATTCAACGTCACTGGCATCAGGGAAAGCAAATCAAACCACAGACGGGCTGTGCACTGGGGCTCCCCGGGAGGCCGGGCTGGCAGGTCATCTGAGCCTGGGAGTTTGAGACCAGCCTGGGCAACATGGCGAAACCCTGTCTCTACAAACACACGAACACCACGAGGAGACACTGCCTCACAGCCACGAGAATCAGAGACAGCAACCCCAAGTGCTGGCGAGGATGTGGGGACGCCGGGACCTCGGGCAGCGCTGCCGGGACTGGAAATCGGGGCAGCTGCTGTGGAGGCCGTCTGGGAGGTTCTCAAAGGGACACACGGAGTTACAGGTGCCTTGGCAATTCCACTCCTGGGTGTCTGCCCAAGACCGACCAACACACGTATCCACACAGACGCACACACGTGTCCTCAGCAGCACAACCCACAACAGCCAGGCGTGTTAACCACCCCAGCGGCCAAGACGCAGCAAAGGGCAGGCGCAGCACGGGCCGCAGGCGCCAGAACACAACTCGGCCTTGGACAGGAGTGAGGCTCTGACGTGGGCCCAGAGCCACTGAACCCTGAGGACGCCATGCTCAGTGAGACTCCAGACGCAGAAAGCCACACAGAGTGTGATTCCACTTCTACGAAAGGTCTGGGACAGGCCCATCCACAGAGGCGGGAAACGGATGCGTGCGTGCTGGGGCTGGGAGTGGGGGATGGGGAGTGACTGCTAATGGGGACAGGGCTGCTATTTGAGCTGACGGAATGTTCTAGAATTGGAGGTGACGGCTGCACAACTCTGCGAATGTACTAAAAGTCATGCACTGAACACTTTAAAGGGCGAATTTTACAGTGTGTGAATCACATCTCAGTAAAGCGCGTTTTTTAAACAGACAGGACCTAGGTGTGGGTGGGAACAGAGCGGGGGTCAGCTTCCTGCCAACACGGCATGAGCCAGGCCACCCCCAAGCGTCCCATCCACCATGAGGTGGTGGCAGAGCCCATAACCCCTCTCCCTCACCAGGGCTGAGAGCCTAGGCACTGCCAAGGTTTCCGAGACTACAGCCAGGTAGGGGTTGCAGCCAGGCCGAGCCACAAAGCACACCGCCCAGCGGCCGGGCAAGGACAGCAAACACTGGGGCCTCGCCCAAGTCTGAGGACTCTAGAGCCTGTCCCTGTGCAGGCCCTGCTGTGTGTCGGGATGGTGGTACCCGTGGGAAGCCTCCCTCCACCCCCTCCCGCCCCCTCCTGCCCCCGGCCAGCTAAGGGGAGCCAAGGAACCTTCTTGTAGGTGGTTTCACCGGATGCGTCCACACCTCGATGGCCCAACTTCTTCCCGTGGCCAGGGCCCGGCTGTGCCGTCATGGACAGGGCCTGGGCAGAGGAAGCAGGAAGCATTAACTTCATGAGGAGCACCCCCACTGGAGCAGGGCTTGCTCCGAAACCCTGGGAAGAAAGCGTTTAGTTGCTGGGCCCAGCAGAGGCGCGAAGGGCAGGGGCAGGTCCGGGCAACTCTGGGGCGCAGCAGGAGACACCTCACTTGCAGGCACCTAACGGGCTGGCTGGGGCCCCTCAGTGACCCATGCTGGACACCCAGAGGCGCTCACTCCGATGGGGAGACCTCTGGCTCCTCCAGAGGGCAGGAGGACTGGGCAGCCCCAGCCCCTAACTTCAGGGCCTCCCCCAGATGCTGTAGACACTGGGGCCAGACTGCTCTCTGGGGTGGGGCTGCCCTCACACTGCAGGGTGCTGAGCAGCATCCCTGGCCTCCACCTGCTCCATGTCGGGAGAACCCCCCAGCTGTGACAACCACAGATGTCCCACCACCCAGTGTCCCCCGGGGACAGGACAGCCTAGTGAGTCCCCTAGGCCGGAAGACCGAGAAGAGCATCTGGCCCCTGAGGGAGATGGTCAGGGTCAGGCCGGCTCCTGCAGGCTGCCAGGCAGCACAGGCATCTCAGCAGATGGCGTGAGTCGCCTACCCCGGAGGCCTCAGCCTTCTGCCCTCGAGGGAGGACGTGAGGAGGGGCCGTGGGAGTCTGAAGGGACACAGAGGCCAGCCAGGGAGAACGGCCCTGCCAGGCACCAACACTTAAGGAGCGCGACTGTGTTTCCTCGGAGAGCCCAGGGGCCCTACACCGGCCAGCACCCACACTGCTCCCCTCGGCCAGACCCCATCCCACCGCCATCGGCCCCAGGGATGATCCAGTAGCCCTGACCCCTGCCTTGCCGGCCCCTGGCAGCTGATGCTGCTCAGCCGTGTTCTGTGCATTCTCCCGGGCAGCCGCCAGGGGGCAGGCTCTCCCTAGGAACACATCCGGCCACCTGTGTCGCCCTCCCTGATGCCCCCAGGTGAGAGGGGGGTACTCCGAGGAAGGATTCCAGGGTCCCAGGCCAGGTAGACAAAGTCTGAATGGCTCAGGGTATGGATGCAGGGCCCAAGGGCAGCCCAGGCAGGACAAGTGCCCTGGGGACCGTTCCTGGGAACCGGACTTGTGAACAGGTACCCTTCGGGCTGCATGTGGGGAGACAGGGAGACGCAGCAGCTAGGGCGCCCTCGGGGAACGGCCCACACCACCCAAGCACACGGGCTGGGAAGAAGGCCACGGAGCTAGCAGAAGCTGCTAAGGCAGGGCCACTGTGCAGAGATCACCAGAGGAGACAGGCAGCAATGACAAGATGGGGAAGGGGCCGTGCATACACAGACGCTGAGGGCGTGGGTGGAGCTGGTAGCCTCGAGCATCGCCCTCTGGGCAGCATCTGACCCTCCAGTCTGCTCCTCCGTCCCCCTGCGAGAGCTGCTCTCTCCCCCCCCACACACATCCCCCAGAGTCCTGGCCCCACATGGCCTGGAACCCAGAGAAGCCCTTCCCGCCCCTGCAGCCCTGACCAGCACCCCCGCCACTCGGGGCGCGGCCCCTCAGACGCAGGGCCCTCCTCCATCTTGGAATTTCACCCTGACTACTCAAGACATGGTTGGCGTGGACCCCGTGTCCATCTGCCTGTGGACACTGGATGGCGTCCGGGGCCTGAGAGGTGCAGGGAGCCCCCCAGGCCACCCAGCTTCTCTGTAGGTAGGGAGAAAGCGGGTCAGAGTGGGGACCCCAAGCCCTTCGTTCCCTCCAGATACTCACCTCTGTCGGGGCTGCCTTCTTCTGAGCCAAACCTGCAGAAGAGAAAAGCCAGATATCAGATCGGGCCTGGTGACCCCTGGGAGCCCAGGGCCCAGCCCCCGGCCCACCTCCTGGCCCCCCAGGCCTGGAGTGTGTAACTCCAGGCGTGGGGCCTGTCTCAAGGGTACACAGTCGGGGAAGATGCAGACTGAGTGCGCTGGGAGGGATGTGATGAGGCTGGGGGCCGCTGGGACCTAGAGCAGGGGAGAGGCTTTGCAGCCTCAGGGAGGTGAGCGGCTGGTGACACCCAGGCTCGGCACCCACCAGAGGGCTTGGAGCTTGGACCTGGCTGGAGGAGAGGGCAAGTGGGGAGCAAAGCTCCCCTGCTCTGACCCTTTCACACCCACACATCAGGTTCGGAGCAGTCACTGACCGAGCAGCTCTGAACTGACCAAGCCCCGCTTCCCCGAGGCAGGCGCCAGGAGAAGCTCAGTCATGGGGAAATCAGGTGCCAGCTCGGGACAGGGGGCGAGAACAGGCTGGAGTTGCGGAGGGCCCAGCCCCCCGAGAGGCTGCAGTCAGTGGGAGCCGGCTAGGGGTCCCCAGGGCTGGCGCCCAACCTGCCCGTCTCCAGGGAGAGATTTGTGGAAGGATAGGGAGACTGTGAGGAGCACCCAGCCCTGCCCTGGCTCCTGGGCCCACAGCCTCCAGTCAGTGCCTGCAGCGGGGTGCAGGACAAAGCCCCAGAGAGGATGCGGGCCTGCTGGGTTGAGCCACCGCCCAGGTCCTGTTTGAGCTGGGAGTGCCTCCCTCCACTTGAGGAGGCTGGGATGAGGGGCAGGCGAAACTCGGCACCTGGGACCCAGGACCATGTCCCTAACCCTGGCTTCTGGCAGCGGGGCCCTGGGGTACTCGTCTGGACGGTGGGCTTCCACGGAGGGTCCTCTGCTCAGAGTTGTGGGGGGCAGAACACGCGCCCCCAGGACTCGCCTGCCTTGATCGTGAAACAGACTCTATAGCTGTAATAAGGGCCCTGAGACGGGTGGGGGGTGATCCTCGGGGACCTGGGCCCCGATGTCCTCACAGGGCCCTCACGAGAGGGAGGGGAGAGTCAGAGAGAGACTGGAAGGGGCTGTGAGGTGGCTGTGAAGGGGTAGGACGGGCCCTGGGCCAACGGACAGACAGGCGCAGGCGCCCCTAGGTGCTGGGAGAGGCGGACATGGAAATTCTTCCCTGCAGCCTCTGGTGGGCCCAGCCCTGTCCCACAGCTTGACTTTAGCCTGGTGCGGCCCCATTCTGAGGTCGGATGCCCGCCCTGGAGCCCACCACGTGGGACCGGGCCAGACCCGGTTTCACCCTCAAGGGGCTCAGAGTCAGCAGAAGTGGGCGCAGGGCCAGGTGCTTGATGTAGGGCGACAGGCGGGGTGTGGATCAGCAAGGGAGGCTTCCTGACAGGTCGGGTCTGGGCTCGGTACAGAACAAAGACGCGGTGGGGAGCGGGAGGCGGCGGCCCAAAGGTCACGAGGGGCTGAGGCAGCTGCTGCACGGGATACACAGCATCCCCCAGGCTCACGTGAAGGCAGCCGGCGAAGGGGAGCGACTCCCTGTGAGATTCCGATGCTGGCACCACCCGGGGCCCAGGGCATGGACACAAATTCTTTTCAGCAACACAGTGATGCCAGCCTCTTCTCACTCCATTCTCCCTTCCTAGAGGAGGCTGAGGGTCAGGAGGTGAGGCTGACAAGTCTTCCAGGTGGGGCGCGGGGGCAGGCCCTCACATGGGCTTATTAGAAGCCGGCGTGCCCTGCTCCCGGGGCGCGACCCTCTGGCCAGCAGTGAGCTGGAACTGGTGGGGCCCTGGCTTCCAGGTCAGCCGAGGTGAGCAGGGGAGCCCAGGACCCATGAGGGGCCAACCGGGTGAGGCTCAGGGAGGTGGAGACAGGTGAGGAGGTGGGTGCAGAGTCTGAAAGGCTGGAGGCCTGGCTGGACGTGGACTCGGGAGACGGGACAGAGAACTTTCCCAAGCGACAAGAAGTCTTTCCAAGCCAAGCCCTTAGAGTCAGCGGAGAGCGCAGAGAGGGAGGGGGTCCCTGTTTTAAGACTGGGAAGGTGATGCACAGTGGGAGGGGCTGGCCCACCCCAGGTCACACAGAAGCAGAGGCAAAGTCAAACCCCGGCCTGGGTCGCTGACGCCCCGTCCTCTCAGCCCTGCCAGCGCCTTGGCCCCCATGGGCACTGCGCTGCTCTCGGTGGGTGCACAGGAGACCCACATGCGTGTCCCCAGTGACTGCCCTGCTGTCTGAAACACGTCCCTGCGGGCACTAAAGCCAGCTGAACACAGCTGGGTGGGGCCACGGCTTTGCTCTGCACCTGGGTGGGAACTGCCAGAGACACAGTGAAGGTACAGGGTGGCAAACTCTGCGGGGTCAGGCCTGGGGGCAGGCACAGGCCATGGGGTGGGGGAGGGGGCTACAACCGAGAGGCGGGTAAGGCCCGTGGCCACGGTCAGTCCCCATGCCTGCCTGGGGGCTCCAGACTGGACAGTGTGCCCCCACATTCACATCCCTCAAAGAACCTCAGCAGGCAACCTTATTTAGAAAGAGTGCTGACGTCATTGGGTAAGATGAGGTCGAGCTGGAGTGGGGCGGGGCCTAGATCCCTGGTGGCTGCTGTCCTTATAAGAAGCCCCATGGAGAGGCCAAGACGCCTGGGGATGGAGGCATGGCGGGAACCACTCCTCCAGGCCCAGAAACCAAGGATGCCCGGAGGCAGCAGGAGCAGGGAGGCGTGGAGAGAGCTTCTCCCCAGCTGGAGGGCGCAGCTCTGCCCACACCAGGAGCTGGGCTCCGGGCCTCCAGACCGGGCCAGAACTAATGCCTGTTCACGGCCTGCTGCTCTGTGCCCCCCAGTCCCTGGGACTCTGGGCAGCCCAGGCCCTCCCCGACTCTCCAGTGAGGATCCAGCCCTGGGTGGGAGGGGTACTTCTCGAGGCAGCTGGAACAGTAGAAGGGTCCCCCCCTCGGGCCACCTGGGCGTCCTGCAGGGCTGAGTAGGCACGAGGGGGTGGGGGGCCTGGAGGGGTCTGTGGACCAACCTGCTCACTGCAGGGGCTGGAGGGAGGGGGCGGGTCAGGGGTGGAATGAGTGAGGGGACTGGGGAGCTGCCTCTCTGTCCTTCTGAGGACAGGGCCGGTCTCTGACAGGCCACAAGGGCCATTCTGGGCTGGGGGGCGGAAGGTGCTGGAGGCTGACGTGATGCTTGGAGCAGAACAATTCACGGTTTTTCGTCCAGGGTGTGGGGGGAAGGAAAGGAGAGGGCAGGAAGCCAGCGGCGGGCACGGTGGCCATTCCAGACCTCATCGGGCCACCTCAGTCCTGACTCAAGTCCCGAAACCGCCCCTCTGAGCCCCTCATGCCCACTGGAGTGACTCGGCTGTTTTCCTCAGTGGCCAGGGTGCTGGGCAGTCACGGCGCTTGGGTGGAGGAAGGCGCCCTGGGTCCGCCCTGCCCAGACTGTCCCAGGCTCCCTACTGGCCTGGGACCAAGGGGAGGCAGTGAGGCCCTCCTGACCCGGCTCTGCCGACCTCACCAGGAACCTCACGGTCACCAGTGTTGTGTCTGGGCCCCCTGCCTCAGTTTCCCTCCTTGGCTCCACGTCTTTATCTGCCTGACTTGCCTGAGCCAGCTGACAATGGGGAGAGGAGAGGGGTGGCCCGCTTCGGCCCTGCTGGGAACGTCTGTGCACTGGGGGCCTGGGGGGTTAAGGGACCAGACTGAAGCCCCAGGCAGGGGCAGAGGCAGGGGCAGGGCAGGAAGGGGAGGGGGAGGCACTGGGTTGGGGGACCTGGGGAAAATGCAGTGCTCCCAGGGCAGACAGGAGGGGTCGACAAGGAGAGGTCAGAGCAGAGTATCCCGTGGAGAAGAGGGGACGGGGAGGAGGCAGAGTCTTGGAGCCACCGCCCAGCCGGGGCGTGGGCAGCTAGGCACCATCTTCGCTCCACGCCTGCTTCCTGTGAGGCCCACCCTGGGCACGGAGCCTGCCGTGACCCCCATCAGGGCCGCCGTGACCCCCATCAGGGCCGCCGTGACCCCCATCAGGGCCGCCGTGACGCCGAGTGCTGCTTAGCCTGAGACGTGACTGATTATCTGCTGAATGAGCCACCTCGTTTTCGAGGAAATTAGGTTTTAAAAATAGTCGGGGGAAGAAAGGCGAGCTGAGCTGTGGAGCCAGAAGGTGGGCCCCTCAGCCCACGGCTGCCAGTGGGGACAGGCGGGCAGGGGCACCTCGGATGCGTTGGCCAGGGTGGGGGGTAGCCAGGGTTTCATCTCTCCCGCTCCCCACTCCTGAGGGGCAGCAAGGCCCCTGGGCCTCCACGCCAGCCTCTGCTGCAGCCACCCACTATGTGGCCTCAGATGGGTCCTGCACGTCTCTGAGTGGTTTGCTCTGGCCGGGCTGAGGGCCCCTCTCCCGGCCCCGTCACAGGACCTGGCAGCACCCCGGGCCTTCGGCACTCGGTGCTGAGTGCTTGCTGCATGGGGATCTCACCAGCCACCTGCGCCTCCCTGCGTGCCGGGTCTTCTCTCTCAGCCTCGGTCTCTTTGCCTGCAAAGTGTGGCTAAAGCCAGCACGAACCCTTGAGGCACTGCCACTCTCCATGAGGCCACACGGCCACCTCTGCACCCAACACATGGCCACATGGCCACAAGGCCACCTCTGCACCTGACATACGGCCACAGGGACACCGCTGCACCTGACATACGGCCACCTCTGCACCGGGCTACAGTCACCTCTGCACCTGGCATGGGGCCACACAACCACCTCTGCACCCAGCACGGGCCACATGGCCACCTTGGCACCCAGCTGTTCACTGCTCTGTGCCCCTGGGTGGGGCTGCTGCCCAGAGGGCCACTGCTAGGCGCAAAAGGACAGGTGTGGGCTCACCGTGACACAGCAACTCAGTGCGTGAGGACGCCGAGGCACAGGGTCCTGCAGACCCGCAAGCAGGAAGCAACCCGGGCCAGAGCTGACGCTCAGTCCTCATCTGCTAGAACAG